TGACTCAGGAACGAACTGGGCTGAGAGAAGCCAACTTGGAATGCAGTCCTGGTGCTAAAACAGGAACAGAAAAGACTTGGTGTGGAGGCTGGAACCGCGCCATTGTAAGCCGCGATTTGGGTTTCCCGCCACGCGGCGGCTGGCTGCCTCTACAGCGGCTCAGCAAGGAGAGAGACGCGTGGAAGCTCTGAGAACGGCAATCTGCGAACGGCAGGGAGGTGTGCACTGACTTGGGGTGAGGTGAGTGAGAGAAACTGACACTCTACCACAGTTTGACTCCAGCAGAGGACTTTCTGGGCCCGGGCAGTCCTGCGGGAGCAGGGCGCGGTGGCGACTCCAGCCACACATCCCCCTCTCGGGCGGGATTGGTGAAAAGTGCCTGGCCTGCGTGACGCTGCCGGCGGACCTGGTAGGCTGTCCCAACCCAGATCCCAGAGCCTGACGGTGGCCGGGAGGGGTGACGCCTAGGCTGCCTGGTCCGTAACTCCCTGGTGCGCAGCGGTGAGCGGGAACACCTAACTGGCGCAATTCGATCAGGCTGTGGCTGACTGGGAGAGAAGCTGGGCCTCTTATATAAGCTTGCATATATAAGGAACAGAGAAGAAGAGGCAGCATGGGAAGAGGCAGCAACAAGAAAGGCTCCTCGGCCCCCAATTCTGAGAAACAGGCAATAGCAGACACCACACCAATACACATAAGGCACCATATAGAGAGCCTCATAGACCAATTCAGGAATGAAGTTATCAATGACCTGAAGCTAGAAGTATGCAGAATAGTTAGAGAAATGCTAAGTACCACCCAAGAAAAAACAGGTGGTGGAATGGAAGAACAGAAAAAAAGGGGAGAATTGTTTGATGGAGAAAACAGAGAAAGCATAGAATACGTGAAGCAGGTTCAAAGGGACTACCAAGATACTAAGAAGTCTATAGAAGACTGGCATAACAGCTTGAAAGAAACTAAGGACAGACTATCTGAACTGGAGGGCAGACTTGTAATATGGGAGAATGAAATGAAAAACTTCTTAAAAATAACAAAGAAACAAACAGCAATAATACAAAGACAAGAAGATGATAAGAGGATCCATAACTTAAGGATTAAGAACATAAAAGAAGAAGTAGGGACACAAACAAGTGAACTACAAAAGCTACTCACAGAAATAATCCAGGAGAATTTTCCTAATTTAGCAAAAGGTAAAGATACTCAGATGTATGAGGCATACAGGACCCCAGCTACCTACAACCCAAACAGAGCAACACCCAGGCATATAATAATAAAAATTCCAGAAATTCAATACAAGAACAGAATATTAAAAGCTGTAAGAGACAAGAAACAGACCACCTACAAGGGAACACCCATCAGAATTACAGCAGATTTCTCTGCACAAACCATCAAATCACGAAGAGCGTGGGGGGAAATAATTCAAGCATTGAAAGATAATAATCTCCAGCCAAGATTGAGATATCCTGCACAACTGTCCCTGGAAATTGATGGAAAAACAAGGTGCTTCCAGGATAAAGAGGAACTGGGGGAATTTGCAACCACCAATTCAACTCTACAGAGAGTATTGCAGGATATTCTAAAAAAAGAAAAATACAAAGAGTCCAGAAATAATGGCAGAGAGGCCACAACGAATGGAGCAGAGAACAAAATGAAGAAGACAAACTGACAGCTACGGACAGAAAAAGAGCTTAACAGAAATGAGGCAGAGAAGATTGGATGATAGGAACAGCTATTTTGGAGAAAATGACATCTTAATAGGTAATACAGATTTAGTATCATCTTGTTTTGAAGTCTCATCTAGCTTTTGTCCTTCTGTCTCCAATGGTCTAAATAGGCTGTATCTTATTGGATTTTATTATGTACGATAGTATAAGCAAAAACCTTTTAAAGACAAGGAGATTATACAGAAACCATTGTTCATTTTGTTAGTCGATTCTAAATACTCTGTAATGCTGTCATTCTCTTGAATGGTTTTACATTGTTTTGATATACTTAATGCTACAGTATACGAAGTTGTACTCAAGGATTTCAAAGAAAGAAACAATATGGTAACTACTTTTAGGTTAGGATTATCTGGTGGTGAAACACTATTCTGCTTAAATGGTTATGTTTTGATCTGCGCTGTTTCGTTGTTATGCCCTCTTTTATCTCAATCTCCACTCCATTATTTACTTTTTTATCTTTATCCTTTTAATTAAAGGAGAAAAAATAGCAGGATATATTATAGTAACCTACTTTGACTTTTCATTACCTTGATTTAAAGCCCTGTATTACTCTCACCATCTGGTTTTTAACTGATGTTCCCCTATTCTGTTTTGCTGGATAGTATCAGGTTCGAAAGTTTAGGCATCAGCTGTGAAGATAATGAGATTCATTATGACGCACATTCTTGTTGACTTTTGTCTACTTTTGAAGACCTACAATGTCTCCAATGTTTTGGTTTTGTCGGTTTTGTTTTTTACTGTTTTGTTCAATTGTATTATAACTAATGATATAGGCAATTCTATTAGAGATAGCGGGAGGCATTATGGTAACCATTGTTGATCACCTTGTATTATGTTTTTACATTATCTATTATGTCCACCCTTTTGACTTGACCGATTCTGTTCTGTTATGTCACATTTGGTTTTACTCTCTTCCAAAAAAGCAATAAGAACCGTGGGAGCAATGAAACCCAAAATGTGTAATAGTCATGGTACAAAAGAGAAGAAAAGAAAGTGCTCCAAACTATATAATTGCATGTATATTTAAGTCTATAAGATAGAAAATGATATCACAGAGTTTTATTGGATCAATGAACAGAACTGTTTGCAGTATCATTGATGGAATGTCCACTTTACAAGCTCTAATTTTGTGACTTGAACAATTATTTCTAAGATGACAATATGTAATCCATTAACTAGTGATTTCCTACTGTTCATTTTTTTTCTGTAAATCTGTATAACTCGTACCCTTTCCCTGCTTTTTTTTTCTTTTCTCCTTAAATAAAATTTAAAAATAAAATAAAATAAAATAAAATTTAAAAAAAATAAAATAAAAAAATAAAAAAAATAAAAAACCAGATGGTGAGAGTAATACAGGGCTTTAAATCAAGGTAATGAAAAGTCAAAGTGGGTTACTATAATATATCCTGCTATTTTTTTTCCTTTAATTAAAAGGATAAAGATAAAAAAGTAAATAATGGAGTGGAGATTGAGATAAAAGAGGGCATAACAACGAAACAGCGCAGATCAAAACATAACCATTTAAGCAGAATAGTGTTTCACCACCAGATAATCCTAACCTAAAAGTAGTTACCATATTGTCTCTTTCTTTGAAATCCTTGAGTACAACTTTGTATACTGTAGCATTAAGTATATCAAAACAATGTAAAACCATTCAAGAGAATGACAGCATTACAGAGTATTTAGAATCGACTAACAGAAAATGAACAATGGTTTCTGTATAATCTCCTTGTCTTTAAAAGGTTTTTGCTTATACTATCATACATAATAAAATCCAATAAGATACAGCCTATTTAGACCATTGGAGACAGAAGAACAAAAGCTAGATGAGACTTCAAAACAAGATGATACTAAATCAGTATTACCTATTAAGATGTCATTTTCTCCAAAATAGCTGTTCTATCATCCAATCTTCTCTGCCTCATTTCTGTTGAGCTCTTTTTCTGTCAGTAGCTGTCAGTTTGTCTTCTTCATTTTGTTCTCTGCTCCATTCGTTGTGGCCTCTCTGCCATTATTTCTGGATTCTTTGTATTTTTCTTTTTTTAGAATATCCTGCAATACTCTCTGTAGAGTTGAATTGGTGGTTGCAAATTCCCCCAGTTCCTCTTTATCCTGGAAGCACCTTGTTTTTCCATCAATTTCCAGGGACAGTTGTGCAGGATATCTCAGTCTTGGCTGGAGATTATTATCTTTCAAAGCTTAAATTATTTCCCCCCACGCTCTTCGTGATTTGATGGTTTGTGCCGAGAAATCTGCTGTAATTCTGATGGGTGTTCCCTTGTAAGTGGTCTGTTTCTTGTCTCTTACAGCTTTTAATATTCTGTTCTTGTATTGAATTTCTGGAATTTTTATTATTATATGCCTGGGTGTTGCTCTATTAGGGTTGTAGGTAGCTGGGGTCCTGTATGCCTCATACATCTGAGTATCTTTACCTTTTGCTAAATTAGGAAAATTCTCCTGGATTATTTCTGTGAGTAGCTTTTGTAGTTCACTTGTTTGTGTCCCTACTTCTTCTTTTATGTTCTTAATCCTTAAGTTATGGATCCTCTTATCATCTTCTTGTCTTTGTATTATTGCTGTTTGTTTCTTTGTTATTTTAAAGAAGTTTTTCATTTCATTCTCCCATATTACAAGTCTGCCCTCCAGTTCAGATAGTCTGTCCTTAGTTTCTTTTAAGCTGTTATGCCAGTCTTCTATAGACTTCTTAGTATCTTGGTAGTCCCTTTGAACCTGCTTCACGTATTCTATGCTTTCTCTGTTTTCTCCATCAAACAATTCTCCCCTCTTTTTCTGTTCTTCCATTCCACCACCTGTTTTTTCTTGGGTGGTACTTAGCATTTCTCTAACTATTCTGCATACTTCTAGCTTCAGGTCGTTGATAACTTCATTCCTGAATTGGTCTATGAGGCTCTCTATATGGCGCCTTATGTGTATTGGTGCGGTGTCTGCTATTGCCTGTTTCTCAGAATTGGGGGCCGAGGAGCCTTTCTTGTTGCTGCCTCTTCCCATGCTGCCTCTTCTTCTCTGTTCCTTATATATGCAAGCTTATATAAGAGGTCCAGGTTCTCTCCCAGTCAGCCACAGCCTGATCGAATTGCGCCAGTTAGGTGTTCCCGCTCACCGCTGCGCACCAGGGAGTTACGGACCAGGCAGCCTACGCGTCTCCCCTCCCGGCCACCATCAGGCTCTGGGAGCTGGGTTGGGACAGCCTACCAGGTCCGCCGGCAGCATCACGCAGGCCAGGCACTTTTCACCGATCCCGCCCAAGATGGGGATGTGTGGCTGGAGTCGCCACCGTGCCCTGCTCCCGCAGGACTGCTCGGGCCCAGAAAGTCCTCTGCTGGAGTCAAACTGTGGTAGAGTGTCAGTTTCTCTCACTCACCTCACCACAAGTCAGTGCACGCCTCCCTGCCGTTCGCAGATTGCCATTCTCAGAGCTTCTGCGCGTCTCTCTCCTTGCCGAGCCGCTGTGGAGGCAGCCAGCCGCCGCGCGGTGGGAAACCCAAATCGCGGCTTACAATGGCGCGGGGTCCAGCCTCCACACTGAGGCTTTTCTGTTCCTGTTTTAGCACCAGGACTGTATTCCAAGTTGGTTTCTCTCAGCCCAGTTCGTTCCTGAGTCAGCAGAGCATATCTCCACCTGCTTATGTCTCCTTAGTCCGCACCATTCCTGGCTTCTGAGCCGAGTCTTTCCGAGAGCCTCCGGTAGTTGCTGTTATCTGTCCGCCATGTTCTCCCGGAAGTCTCGTCTCCATCAGTCTTAACATGTTGTATCTTATTGGATTTTATTATATGTGATAATATAAACAAAAACTTTTATAGACAAGGAGATTATACAGAAACCATTGTTCATTTTCTGTTAGTTGATTCTAAATACCCTGTAATACTGTCATTCTCTTGAATTGTTTTACATTGTCTTGATATGTTTGATGCTATAGTATATGAAGTTATACTCAAAGATTTCAAGGAAAGAGACACTGTGATAACTACTTTTATGTCGGGATATCTTGTGGTGAAACATTATTTTGTTTAAATGGTTGTTTTGACCTGCACTTTTTTTTTGTTATGCCCTCTTTTATCTCAATCTCCTTTTTTATTATTTACTTTTTTATTTTTATCTTTTTAATTATGGGAAAAATAAAAAATAGCAGGATATATTACAGTAACCCACTTTGATTTCCTATTAACTTGATTTGAAACCTCATATTGCTCTCACCATTTTGTTTTGACTGATTTTCCTCTATTCTGTTTTGCTTGATAGTACCAAGTTTGAAAGTATAGGCAACAATTGTGAAGATAATAAGATTCATTATGATGCCCATTCTGGTTGACTACTATCTTCTTTTGAAGACCTGTAATGTCTCCAGTGTTTTGGTTTTATTGGTTTTGTTCTTTACTGCTTTGTTCAGTTTTATTATAACTGATGATATAGGCAATTATTTTTAAGCTAGCAAGAGGCATTATGATAACCATTGTTGATCATCTTGTATTTTGTTTTTGCATTATGTATTATGTCCATTCTTTTGATTTGACTGACTCTGTTTTGTTATGTCACATTTGGTTTTATTCTCTTCAAAAAAAGTAATAAGATCTGTGGGAGTATTAAAACCCAAAATATGTAATTGTCATTGTACAAAAGAGACAAAAAGAAAGTGTTCTAAAGGATATAACTGCATGTATATTTAAGTGTATAAGATAGATAACCATATTACTGAGTTTTGTTGGATCATTGAGCAGAAATGTTTGCAGTCTCCCTGTTTGAATGTCCACTTTATATGCTTTAATTTTGTAACTTGAATAACTATTTCTAACCTGACAATATGTAATCTATCAACTAGTGATTTCCTAATGTTTATTTTTTCTGAAATTCTGTATAACTTGTACCCTTTTTCTGTTTTTTTCTTTTTCCCCTTAAATAAAAAAAAATCTATGAAGGCAAAGTTAAATATAAAGAAAATATGCTTTTAAGTTAAAAAAGATAGAAGTTTAATTATAATAAAGCACTTTTTCTTAATAAAGTATTAGCTATGTAGACATAATAATCATATTTCAAAGTTTTAAAAATATTTAATGTTTGGAATAATGAATCCTAAGTAACCTATTTACTATGTGACAATTACTTACCTTCTCCAAACCTCAATTTCTTCATTTACAAAGTGATCTAATGATATTTATATTGTTGTTATAGCAATTAAATAAAAATATATAAAGCACACTTTATGGCACTTTTTCAGAATGCAACAACTTGTCATTATCATGAAGCATGGAAAAGAGATTTAATAATGTGGAAGCTTTAAAAAATAATGCAGAAGCTCAATCATGTGATAGATTACTCTTCTTAGGTAAGCATATAGTTAGTTGTTTCTTGCCTGAGAAACTTGTAGAAGTTTTAGTCAAACCCTCTTGGGGATCAGTCTACATTTAGTGTAAATTTGGTCCATTTGAAAAATATGTAATTTCCTGAGTTTATTAAAAATTAGATTGTTTATATACATTCCTTCCATAGTGGTACTTTATATTTTGTGTTTTGGTGTTAGGGATTGAACCCTGGATCTCATGTGTGCTAAGCACATTTGCTACACCTGAACTACACCCCAGCCCTAAGGTTAAAATGGTATTAGCATTATTTTTTGTTAGCATTTACTATTAAAATATTAATGCTTTTGTTGCATCATAGTTTGAATATTTCAAAACTAAAAAAGTGATCGGCAGGTTAGGTAGACAAGCAATGCTAGTGGAAAATGGAGAAGATAGTAAGAATATAAAAGCTAAAGCTTTTCCATAGCCAGTGCAACTCACCCCTAGATCACTTATTGGTACAGTCAAGTAGTAGACTGGAGTTGTGTCAGAGGGAGCCTATAAAAGAGATCTGCAAGAGGCTGTCTGGGCAGTCTCTTTAAGTTAAGGAAGAAGAAGTAGGCCTATCTGTTCAGAGAGCAAGTAAGGAGATGAAATGTGGTTTTTGTGGAACTAGTTGTGTTAGGTCTGTAAAGGCACCATGGAAGATCAAGTTTAAAGATGCACCATTATAAGTGGTGGAGAACCTATGGCATGAATGCTGCAGGGGGTGATTTGTATCATTAAAAGTTCTACAAGGTTTACCATCACTGTCCTATAGTACTTTTATCATTGTTGCCATTGTTGTTTCACATTCTGTTTGAAGAGTCTCTGATTATTTGAAACAATTCCTTTTTTGCTGGGAATGGTGGAGCATCCCTGTAACTCTAGCACATAGGAAGCTGAGCTAGGAATTCATTATGTCCCCTTGAAGATGAGGTTCAGTGTCGATGTCGCTTCCGGCCGGCAGGAAGGACACACGACAAAGTCTGGCAGTGGACAACCTTTTCTTTTATTTTCCTTCTCCGTACAGCCTGCCCTGGGATCGCTCCCAGCCGAAGCCTCCTTTGGTCCGCTCCCCGCGGCTCCTTCTGGGCTTCTACTTCCGGGCTTCTTCTTCTCCCCCAGGGGTGGCACCAGTATATATACGGATACAGTGTCCAATCATGTTAAAGTAAGCAAGGCAAGCTGATTGGCTAACATCATCAGTTGCCAGGCAGACTATATTGTTGAGCGGGTTGCTTACGCGGTAAGCAGGAAACTAACGTGCTCGATGGGAGGGGTAATCTACCTCAGGCTTTACTCTTTACTACAGGCCTCACGTCCGCCAAGTGAGGCGACCGGGCTCGGGGCTGCGGCTCCCAACATCTCCCCCTTTTTTATTTTTTATGAATGTGCGCATCGTAGCCCTTCCTGGACTGGGTGCAGAGGCTTATGCCCTATGTGTAGGCCCACCGTAGGTCCTTGGCTTAGACCCTGGTCGGCCGTCCCATGGTCTGCCAAGGCCCTGAGGCCCTCGTCCTTTTTCTAGGGCCAGGCACAAACTGGACGGAACCTGGATGCACACAAGCTTGCACTCATTTCCTCTCCGTAAAGAAATCCCCTCGGAGAGAAATTTAGACCTGGGCAGCATCTAACAGTCCAGCGGCTTACGTGCAGGATGGGGTAGGGCCTGGCTTAGGTTGAGTCGCACCGGGGGAGTACGCTCTTACCCGTCATTGACTCTCCTACCCTGCTATATCATAATTTTTTAGAGGAGGAGTGTGGGAAGCTCACCGTCCCTAGACTCGGTCGTAGGCTAGGCGAGCGAGCCATGCATATGCCTGAGGATCTTCTTGTCCATTTCGGGCTATCGCTATTTCTATTCATCTTGTTGGTTGGTCTGTGATGGATCTCCGGTAGGGCAGGTCTGATCTTCAGTCGAGGGCTTTGTCGCCCGTGTCAGTCTCTCCGGTACCCACAGTGGTATTGGGGATGTCCGACCCTGTAGGGCATTGCCCAAGCCTTTGCCGGGGGTATATCCCTGGTTCCTGAGTATATCCTTAGCCTGGGGGGAGCAGTTTGACGTAAGCGTGACATCCATCTGAGTGAGGATGTCCCTTCCCCATAGAGACACTGGCAACTGCAACACAAATGGTTGGAAATGGCCCTGATGACCCTCCTCATCGCACCAGAACAGGGTTGAAGCACTAACCTGAGGAGCTGACACCATCCCCAGGCCCTGCAGCGTGTTATCTGCAGTGTTGGTGGGCCAGTTGGAGGGCCAATCCTTTCTAGAGATAATGGAACGGTCAGCTCCTGTGTCTAGGAGCCCTGTTATATCCTTGCCATTGACCTTAAGTGAGAGCATGGGCCTTTTATCAAGTATTATATGGAGTCCCTCGAAGACTTCCCCTGAGGAACCGAAACCTTGACTTTCTCTAATTTTCTGCTTTGAGGGGAATCTCTTGTGGAGACTGGGGAGCAGCAAGAGCTGCGCTATCTTGTCTTCTTTATTGATTACCATAGTACCCACAAGAGATTGAACCATAATTTTAATGTGTCCTGTGTAGTCTGAGTCTATGACCCCCGGGACTACTATGAGACCCCGAAGGGCCGTGGAGGATCTCCCGATCACCAAACCCACGGAATTTTCGGGTAACGGTCCCTTAAAGGTGGTTTCAACCACTTGAACACCCATATCAGGCACTAATATAAGTCTGGAGGCGACACTGAGGTCCACACCTGCTGACCCAGGGGTGGCCCTTGTTGAAGGCTGCCATCCTGAGCTGTCCTGTCTCTGGGGCGGGGGCCCGCCTGTGAAGGGGGCCCCCTCTGGCCGTTTTTTGGCCCTCTAGCATCTCGTCCACAAATACGGTTGCCCTGAGCATCAAAGACCGACCTACACTCCTCAGCTTTGTGTGATCCCCTCTTGCATCGCCCACAAACATATGGTTCTTCATTCCTAGGGCGAGGCCTAGCATCTGCATTGTTTGGGCAATGACGTTTAATGTGTCCTGGCTCCCCGCAGGCAAAACACCCTTTAGCCTTACATTCCCCTTCTAACCCGCGAGGTCCCCTCTGCTGTACAGCCGCGGCCAGGAGAGCAGCCACTCCCGAGTTGGAAAGCGGCCCACCTATCTCTCTACATATCCTAATCCAGGCGTTGAGGTCCTTATTCTTATGAGGAGCTATCGCTGCCTTGCACTCCTTTGTACATTGCTCAAAAATCAGCTGCCTTACCAGCGGTCGAGCCACTCCCGGATCAGAAAATATCTTATCGGCAGCATCTTGCATTCGGGCCACAAAGTCAACAAATGGCTCTGTGGTACCCTGAATTATTTTTGAAAGACACAAGGAGGCTGTTCCGGCACCACTTACCTGCTTCCAGGCGCGGAGCCCTATGGCGTTGATTTGTTCATAGACAGCGCCGGGGAACTGAGTCTGATCATCAGCGTGCCGACCTTCTCCCATAAGCATTTCCTTGTTCCACCCCCGGTTTCCCCGACTGGCGTTTCTCTCAGCCTGCTCTGCAGAGAACTCTGCGTACCAGGCTCGCCAATCCAGGTAACTACCCGAGGGCAGACACGCCTTTGCCAGCTGAATCCAGTCCGCGGGGGTGAGGGGCCCAGAAGACAGGTTCTCCAGCATGGCAATGGTGTAAGGCGCAGTCGGCCCAAAGGTTGTAACTGCATTTTTAAGTTCTCTAATCTGCTTTATCTCAAAAGGCTCCCATGCATTACGTCCCTGGCCCACAGCTACTTGTACAGGAAATATCCCGTAGGGGCCACTATCTATCCCAGGTGGTGGATGTACCTCATGAGACAAACGTCCCCCCTGCCATAGCCGCCTGTAAAAATACCGACCCGCCGGCGGCGGAGCATAAGACGGCGGCCATGATTGGGCGGAAAATGGGGGCCCGTGCATCACTTCCTGTTCTGGCGAAGGGGAAGGGAGCTCCCGGGCGGCCGCCTCGCGGCGAGGGATCGCCTCCGGGAACAGCCCCCAAGGTGAGGCGGAAGGCTTCGCCTCCCTCTCGCGCCGGGGAGCGCTCAGGAGCTCTCTACTCCTCCGCAGACCAAGTTGAGCGGAGTGCAATTCACAGCGCAACGCTGGAAAAGAACCCTGCGACTCCTTATCGAGCGACTTAGGCTCCTGACAGCTGGTCTCTTTGGCCTCCTTGCCATTCAACTTTCCCTCGTCCTCGGAGTCAGACGACTCCGAGGCTAGAGCCCCGTCCTTCTCCTTAGCATCTTTGTTCCCCTTGACGGGCCCCTCTCGGGAGCTCCCCGACTGGGCCTGCTCAAATACCCTGCGTACTTTTGTAAGCTCTTGAGAGCTTTCTCCACAACCACCCTCGCTCTTAGTGTTGCTACCTAGCATGTTTCCCATCTTTTAATATGTTACTCACCGCGTGAGGCCCAAGGAATCCGCCACTTACGCGTGAGCCTGAGGGGAGTCTAAAAGCCCTGTAGGTGCGCGCCACCCAGAGCCCAGGCTTATCCCCAACTCACCTGTCTCGCAGCTCTGTACTTGAGCGTTGTCCGCTGTCACGTCTCGGGGGTGATCAGTCCCCGTGCGGGCCTCCAAATGTCGATGTCGCTCCCGGCCGGCAGGAAGGACACACGACAAAGTCTGGCAGTGGACAACCTTTTCTTTTATTTTCCTTCTCCGTACAGCCTGCCCTGGGATCGCTCCCAGCCGAAGCCTCCTTTGGTCCGCTCCCCGCGGCTCCTTCTGGGCTTCTACTTCCGGGCTTCTTCTTCTCCCCCAGGGGTGGCACCAGTATATATACGGATACAGTGTCCAATCATGTTAAAGTAAGCAAGGCAAGCTGATTGGCTAACATCATCAGTTGCCAGGCAGACTATATTGTTGAGCGGGTTGCTTACGCGGTAAGCAGGAAACTAACGTGCTCGATGGGAGGGGTAATCTACCTCAGGCTTTACTCTTTACTACAGGCCTCACGTCCGCCAAGTGAGGCGACCGGGCTCGGGGCTGCGGCTCCCAACATCATACCACAGTGATATATGTGCACCTATATTTATAACAGCACAATTTGTAATTGCCAGATCTTGGAAACAACCCAAGTGTCCATCAACTGAGGAATGGATAAAAAAGTTGTGGTATTTCTATACAATGGAGTATTATTCAACTATAAAGAAGGATCACATTGAGATATTTATCAATAAATGGGCGCAGCTTGAGACCATACTCATAAGTGAAATAAATCAACCTCGCATGTATGAATACCGAGTAGTTTCCCTAATGTAAGTAATGATTCAAATATATAAAAATATGTGGTAATCATGATTCCCCATTATGTGGCCTTGAAGCCTTATAAAATTTTCACTTATTAATTAGAAAGGCTTTATTCTGGGCTTCTTGATATGGAAATATTTGAAGCTATAGTATATGAAGTTTTATCCAAATATTTCAAGGAAAAAGACAGACACTATGGTAACTACTATTAAGTCGGGTTATTTGGTGGTGAAGCACTAGATTGCTGAAACAGTCATGCTTTGACCTGTATTGTTATATTATTTCCTGTTTTATCTCAATCTCTCCCTTATTCTTTAAAACAATTATTTAGTTATTTCTTATGTTTGTTTTAATTAAGGGGAAAAATTTTAAAAATTAGGATATATAATAGTAACTCTTTTTGATTTCCTATTAACTTGTTTTGAAGTCCTGTAATACTCCCATGATCTTGTTTTGACTGATTAGACTCTGTTCCATTCTGTATGATAGTATCACGTTTGAGGGTATAGGCAACTACTTTGAAGGCAATAAGATTCACTAAGATGCCCATTCTGGTTTGACTATTGTCTCCTTTGGAAGTCCTGTAATGTTTACAATGCCTACGTTTTATTGGTCTTGTTCTCTACTGTTTTATCCAACTTTATAATATCTAATGAGATAGACAATTCTTTTTAAGGAAACAAGAGACAACGTTGATAACCATTGTTGATAACCTTGTACTCTGTTCTACATCATGAGCTATGTCTATCCTTGGTTTTGACTGACAGCTTTGTTTTGCCATATTTGACTTTATTCTCTCCCCCCCCCAAAAAAAAAAGTAATAAGAACTAAGGAGTAATAAAATCCAAAATGTGTAAATTTTGTTGTAAAAAAGAGAGGGGAAAAAAAAGAGCTCTACCGGATATAACAGCAAGTGTGTTTGGGGGTGTTAAATGGCTGACTATATTAATGTTTTTGGATCATTGAACACAGCTGTTTGCAGTCTCTCTGTTTGAATGTGCACTTTGTATTCTTTGATACTGTGATTTGAGCAACTATTTCCAAGATGATAATATGTAATCTATTAACAGGTGATTTCTTACTGTTATGGTTTTTTTTTTTTGTAGTTCTGTATTACGTGTACCCTTACACCGCTTTGTTTTGTTTTGTGTTTTTCTCTTTTTCCTCTTAAATAAAGTTTAAAAAAAAAGAAACAGTTCCTTGCACCATGAGGAAAGTCTCCTGAGTTCCCAGACTAGGGAAGACAGACAGGAACATTTCAGAGAAACAAAACCAAAAAAATGCACCCACAGGAGCTTACTAGCTAGCTCTCCTGTTAGGCTAAGCCAAATACAGTCCCAGATTTTGGAGTGATGGAGTCTCCTCTGTAGAGGTGGTTTCTAGGTTCTTTCTCTCCTGAGCAAAGAATGGTAGTAAAATTTTATTAAATGCAGGAAAAAAAACTGGTCCTGCAGAGCAAGTTTGGCCCAAGTCAAAATAGGAAAGAAGTATACCCTCCATAATAAAACTCAAAATGTGTAAATTTTGTTGTAAAAAAGAGAGGGAAAAAAAGAGCTCTAAAGGATACAACAGCAAGAGTGTTTAGGGGTGTTAAATAGCTGACCATATTAATGTTTTTGGTTGGATCATTGAACACAACTGTTTGCATTCTCACTGTTTGAATGTCCACTTTGTATGCTTTGATACTGTGATTTGAGCAACTATCTCTAAGATGATAATGTGTAATCTATTAACTGGTGATTTCTTACTGTTTTTTTTTTTTTTTTTGTAGTTCTGTATTACTTGTACCCTTATACCGTTTTGTTTTGTTTTGTTTTGTTTTGTTTTTTCTCTTTTTCCTTTTTAATAAAATTTAAAAAAAAAAAAAGAAGTATACCCTCCAGCTTGAAGGTGGGCCACCATGCAAAAGAGAACACAGTGGCCCTGGAGAAGTATTAACAGTGGTTACCTCAGAGTAAAAAGCTCACAAGAAACGTATGTTCTACAGGTAAAAGATTTTGGTTTGGTTTTGTGTTATTGGAGATTGAACCCAAGGCTTTGGCACTGGGTTACATCCTCAGCCATTTTAAATTTTGAGATGGAGTCTTGTTAAGTTGCTCCATTGTCTAGGCTGGGCTAAAACTTGGGGCCCTCCTGCCTCAGCCTCCTGCACTGCTGTGATTACAGGCAGTGCCACCATACCTAGCTACAGTCAAAAGGATTATGTCATTAATCACATTTTTATACTACATATTATCTTCATATTATTAACACTTTTCTTAGAAATGTAGTTTCAGTATGTTGCCCAGACTGATGTCATACTTCTGGGCTCAAGATCCTCCTGTCTTAACCTCCTGAGCAGATAGGCCACTCACCACTGAATCTAGTTATGAGCACAGTTTTTAAAAGAAAATGAAGGGGTTATGGATCTGAAGAATGATTACAAAATGATTAAGGCAAAGAGAAAAGTAGAACAATTCAAAGTCATGGACATAGAATTGGATATTTGAAGTTTATATTTTCACATGTAAAGTAATTCTGGGAAATATCCAGAATCAGACAGAGATTTTGTGACAGACTTAGAGTGGAGAAGAGTATTAGTGATGATCAAGGAACTGTAAAGCTAAGATGTTGTTTGATTAGTCCTTATGTAGGAGCCCACTGATGGAATAGGAAATAAAAAGCAATTTGGGTAGAAAGGAAAGTGAGAACCAGAAGCCAAGTCTTCACAGAATATAAGGAAATATCCAAGAAGCCAATATGTGGCTACATGAAGAAAGAATAAAAACCAGGCATGGTGGCACATGCCTATAATCTGAGCACTCTTGGAGGCTGATGTTAGAGGATCCCAAATTCAAACATGCCTAGGCACTTTAGCAATTTAGCAAAACCCTGTCTCAAAATAAAGAATGCCATATTAATAAGCAAAATATACTCTTAAGGACAATTAATGCAACCAAATAGAACTTGGGGAGGAAATTTAGGGTACAGTAATTTATCTACAATAGAATCAGTTTTTCAGAAAACACAGTGCAAATACATATGGCAAGGGAGGTTACAGCAGGTAGGTAAGGGACTGGGGGAAAAAGAAGGTAGGAAAGGTAGGAGAAAGGCCAAAAATGTTCAAGAAAGAATGAACAAAAAAAGCAAAGAATTAAAAAGGCTTACAGGATAAACTGGCTTTTAGTGCAAAGATCCTGGATAAAATCCCCAGTACAAAAATAAAGGATAAGACTGTGAAAGTTAGGAACCTCAAAGGGAAAATTTTTCTGAGAGTTGAAGCAATGGTCTGGATGCAATGAAATGCAGTAAGAATAATGATCATGTCTGTGAAATAAAATTACAAATATTAATAACTCTCCAGTCTCAGTGAGGTAAAAAAAAAATGTGCACTCATATGGGTGGTAAGACTGTACATGAGAAAAATCATTCTGGAAAAAATTTGGCAGTATTTATCAAAAAATTAAATATTCATGTCATTTATTTCAGCAGTTCCATTCCATACATCTGTCCTACAAACACATTCTAATAATGCATATAAAATATGCATTATTAGAATATTCACAATGATTAAAAAACTGAAAATAACCTATATGTTCATCATAAAGCAGATTCATTAAACATACTATGTGAAGTATTCGCTCAAAAGCCAGGCTAACTGGATCCTTTAACCCCCAAATGCTTTTCCTGCTGGGCATGACGATGCATTCCTATAACCCTGACTACATGGGAGACTGAGGCAGTAGGATGGCAAGTTGGAGACCAGCCTGGGCAACTCAGTGAGAAGTTGGCTCAAATATAGTGTTCTTCCTTTGCTCTTCAAACTCTAGGAAATTCCTACTCATTCTTTAACTCTCAGACCTATCTTTTCTGTGAAGCTTTCACTGACAGCCTGTAGTTAAAATATGAAATCCTTTCCTTAAGTCCCATAGCAATGTATACAACTGCTATTATAAGATTTAGGGTTATTTAACCTGAGGTTCATAAGTGGACATCAGGGATCATCATGTCCATGGATCCCTTGATGCTTTATGTAAACTTCTGTGCATTTTTCTGGGGGTAAAATCCTGTCACATTTTAATCAAATCCTGGAATGATTACTATAGTGTAAATTATTTATCATTCACAGAGTAATTTACTCTATACCAGACATTATAAATATACAGATGAAACAAAAATATCCCTACATTCAAAAAGTTTACAAATGAAAAAGAAGTAAACACAGGATTATGAAACCAATATATTAACACATAAAAAGAAGCCTAAATAAAAACACAGACACACCATTAATGAATTCGTAAATACAGCACATTCTTGTGGTAGATATTTACTCTTTTCAAAGTAAAGTGAAAATTCAACATAATGTCAACTAAAATCTCAAAAAGATTTTCTGTGGAATTTATTAGCTGATTCCAAAAATTCCTTTTGAAGGAAAAATAAAGGAAAGGAAAAATAAACTATATTATTCAAGAAATGTTTGAAAACAAAAGAATAATTTTTCACGTATCAAGTTTTATGACAAAGCTATGGTAGTAATTTCAAAAATGTGACACTGACATAAGAATAAACATCAATGGCCAGGCACGGTAACACATACCTGTTATCCCAGCCCTCTGGGAGGCTGAGCCAGGAGGATTGAAAGCTTGAGCTCAGTCTAGGTACTTAAGTGACTTAGCAAGACCCTCTGTCAAAAATAAAAAATAAAAAATAACTGAGAGGGTAGCTCAGCATGAAGGGCCTGGGTTCAGTTCCCACTACTAGCCAAAAAAGCGAAACAAAGTAGATGGTCCCAAAAACAGATTCATGTACACAAAGGAATGATATGATAAAGGTAACATTTCAAATCATCAAAGTGTTGGGACAATAATATATTTGGAAAAAATAACACTATAGCAATTGCTCATACCATTCACTACAATAAATTCTAGATAGTTTAAAGAATAAAAATCCAAGCCAGGCATGGTGGCACACACCTATAATCCCAGCACTCGGGAGGCTGGGGCAGGAGGATCATTGCAAATTCAAGACCAAACGGGGCTACAAAGTGAGCTCAGCACCAGCCTGAATTGCATAGTGAAACACTGTCTCAAAAAGACAAAAAAGAAAGAAAGAATAAAAATCCAACCCAGAAACAAACCTTGTATTAGACAAATACTTCTCAGATATGAAACCAAAAGCATAAATCATAAATTTAAAAACTGATAAGCTTAACTTCATCAAAATCATGAACTTCTGTGCTGCAAAAGGTACTGGTAAGAGATGAAAGACAAAGTATAGATCAAGAGGAAATATTTTCAAATAACATATCTGACAAAGGATTTATACCCAGAACTCTCACACTTGATAAGAACACACCATTTAGTTGTTACACAATTGTCTGCATCCTTAATGCTGCAGAAATGTATACTGTACTTACAAAGATTGGATTTTACTGTATGTAATTATACTTTAATAAAAATGAACTAGGCATGGTGACACACATCTATAATTTCAGCACTCTTGAAGGCTATGATAAAAAGATCACAAATTCAAGCCCAGCCTAGGAAATTTGATACCCTGTCTCAAAATAAAACATAAAAGTCTGGGAGTGTAGCTCAGTTTGAAGGTACTGGGTTCAATTCCCACAACCATCAAAAAGAAAAGAAAAGAAAGAAGGAAGGAAGGAAAAAGAAAGAAAGAAAGAAAGAAAGAAAGAAAGAAAGAAAGAAAGAAAGAAAGAAAGACAGACAAAAGAGGAGAAAGAAAGAGAGGGAGGGAAAGAAGGAGGGAAGGAAGGAAGGAAAGGGATAAAAAATTTATAATCCCAGAACATGCCCATTCATGCACATACATACTTGTACACTTAGAAATGTATGAGAAAGTGTAAGTGGAACTAGGGAGGAGGGAAGGGGAAAGTAAGGAAAGGAAAAGAGAAAAATGAGAAAAAGAAAAAATGGAAATGAAGCTTTTATAAATTAGAAAGGGAATAGGCATTGAAGGAAGAGTAGGAGAATGGAAAAAAGAATCAAGTTATATCATATAGAGATATAAATTTCCTGTGGTGAATATGATCATTGTGTATACCTAAAATGTACTCATAAACTTAATTACAAATGAAATTTAAAAAACAAATATAGGAGAAAAAAGGTTGTTTATACAATTAAAACATAAAACATTTGTGCCCTTCAACCTAGTAATCAATCCTACTCATCAGTACCTACTTCAGAGAAACACTTTAACATATGCCCAGAGAGTTAGTGTCAAAAAAGAAAACAACAATCTGGAAAATCTCGATCCATACTTGCTTAACTATAAAAAATCTATCATTTTTATGCTTAAATTTTATAACAATATGCAGTATATTAATAGTGTTAATTTCATATTATTTTGTTTTGAAATTCTGTATCATTTTTAATCCTTTTAAATTAAGAAAACAAAAATATCTATCTGTGGTACAGACTAGCTTCAGTTCATATTTTTCTTGTAAATTTCTAATCTGTTGTGGACAGATACTGTTATGGCTTGTGTCTAGCTGTTGCCCAAAGCCTCATGCAGTCATTAGTGGGGCTTTTCAGAGGTGCCTGGATCTAAAGTGTGTAAGGCTGGTATCAAGGGTGTGTGATTACTAAATTAGTCCACTGATTAACCAGTTTGGCAAAGTTCTGGGTGTGGATAATGAGAAGCCTCCCCCCAGGTGTTAGTGCTACCTGCCTAAGTGTGGATAGATTGGACATGATATAAAGGGACAGAAAGAGGGTCTTCACTGCTGTTTGTTCACTATGCTGCCTTGCTGCCTTGTGTCCACCATGGACTATTTCTCCTCTGTGATGCCCCTATGCCATGCCACCCCGCCTTGAAGTCAGCCAATTATGGACTAAAACTGCTATAAACTGCAAGCCAAAATAAACCTTTCCTCTTTCCTGGGTATCAGATATTTTGTCTCAGCACTGAGAAAAATAATTAAGATAGATACATTTACAGAGAAAAAAACTGCTAGAAAAGTGATTTATCCTGCACTTAGATCTCATGACCATGTCAAATTGTTACAGAAGCTTTTAAATGATCTAGCTGGAAGTATAGCTCAATGATAGAGCACTTACCTAGCATGGACAAGGGCCTGGGTTTGATCCCCAGCACTACACACACACACACACACACACACACACAAAGTCTTTAATTACTTATCCTCAATTTCGGTACCTATCTCCTTGTGATTGGGTGATACAGTTCATGACAGAAATACTTTGAGTAGCAGTAATCTAAATATTCATCAACAGGCAAATGAGGATTACCATATGATCCAACAATTCTGTATCTGGAATCATACTCAAAAGAATTGAAAGCAGGAACTTTAACAGCTATCTGTACATCCATATTCCTAGCAGCATTTTTCACAATAGTCAAAAAGTATAAACCCTAGTGTAGTTGGCAGATGAATGTACAAACAAAACATGACGTGTATATGTGTATAAAAATGAGTATTATTCAGCCTTAACAGGCAAGGCCATTTTGACACATGCTAAATGAAATAAACTTCTCAAAAAAAGACAAATACAAATACGACTACACATATACAGGGTACTTATAATTGTCTGATTCATAAAGGCAGAATGGATGTTGTTAGGAGATACTGGGAGGCAGCAATAAAGTGATTTGCATTTTGCTTTAGGAAGATTAAAAATGTTCTTGAAAGGCACCAGCCGGCCCTGCCCCTGCATGCACTCCAACAGCCATCGGAAGACACTGCCCACCAGTAACCAGCTCAGTGGGGAGTCAGAGGCAGGCCCTGCCCCTGCACACATGCCAATAGCCATCCAGATGACACTGCCTGCAGATAACCAGTGCAGTTGGGAGGCAGCTGCAGGACCAGCCCCTGCACACACTCCAGCAGCCATCTGAAGACACTATACACAGGTAACCAGCTCAGTGGGGAGGCAGCAGCAAGTTCTGCCCTTATGCACACTCCAGCAGCCCTCCAGACTCTTCTGCATCAGGTAGCCAGCATGGGTGGGAAAAACAGCAGCTGGCCTTGTACCAGCATACCCAGTGATGACCACTGGGTACCCGTAGCCAGCACTGGCCAGGAAAATCAAACAATCACACCAAGAGAAATTGTAACCAACATGGGAAGTGCCTGGGACCCAATTGCCTGCTTCTTTGGAAGAACTCAAGAAAATGTCAAGAAGAAGAAGCAAAAGGCAGTCCCTGGACTCCAACCCAAGCAGAGGAAATCCAGGAGATAAAAATATGGAAGGGATTGGGAGTCACACACCTGAAGTATCTGAAGTGATGGCAACTGAAGTAAACAGACAACTTCATGAGGCTATAAAAGAAATTAGAACAGAAATACTATCTCAAGTAAAAGAAGAAATGAAAAACATAACAAAAAATTGCTAAGCATCTCTAAAGGAGACATAGATAAAAACAGAGAAGCATAGGAAAATGAGGAAAACTGTGAATGAACAATATTAGAGATGTAGAATGCATGAAACAGATTCAAAAAGATATCCAGGAAGTTAAAAACTCCATTGAAAACTGGCAAAACCACTTGAAAGAAACTGAAGATAGACATTCAGACCTTGAATACAGGTGTGCAGCGTGCAATCTTGAAAGGAAAGATCTCTTAAAAATAACAAAGAAACAGAAAATAACAATTCAACAACTTCAAGATGATACAAAGCAAAACAACTTAAGAATAATAGGTGTCAGTGAAAAAGCAGGGGTTGGGCTGGGGATTTAGCTCAGTGGCATAAGCGCCTGCCTGGCAAGTGCGAGGTCATGAGTTCAATCCCTGGTATCGCAGAGAGCCGGGCGTGGTGGCTCATGCCTGTAATCCCAGCACTCAGGAGGCTGAGGTGGGAGGATCGTTGCCAAGTTCAAGACCAGCCTGGGTTACAAAGTGAGCTCAAGGCCAGCCTGAACTGCATAATGAGACCCCGTCTCAAAAAAGACAAAAAAAAAAAAAGCAGGGGTCAATACAGATGGTATGAAAATTCTATTTGCAAAAGTAGTAACAGAAAACTTCCCAAACATGGGAAAAGGATGGGATATACAAATAAGTGAGGTATATAGGCCTCCAGCTAGCCATAACCAAAATAAATCTACATCCAGACATATAATAATCAAGATTCCAGAAATTCAACACAAGAAAAGAATATTAAAAGCTGTCAGGGAAATGAAATAGATCACCTATAAAAGAAAATCCAACACAGTGATGACAGACTTCTAAACACAAACCATCAAATCAAGAAGAGCTTGGAGTGAACTATTTCAAGTCCTGAAAGGAAACAACTTCCAACCCAGATTGAGGTACCCTGAAAAACTATCTTTCAAATTTAATGGAGAAGCAAGATACTTCCATGATAAAGAACAATTGAAAGAATTCAGGACAACCAAACAAACCCTAAAAAGAATACTGAAAGACATTCTAGAAAAAGATTTTTTTAAAAAAAGATCACAGTTCCAGGAACAATGGCAAAGGGGGATCACTGAATGGGGCAGATAACTGAATGGAGGGGAAAGTAGGCAGCCAGTGGCAGAAAAATAGCATGGCAGCGACAAGCCAGTGCACCTTGGTCATAACAATTAACATAGCCTCAATTCAGCAATAAAAAGAAACACAGGCAGAATAGATCAGGAGACAAGATTCATCAATATGCTTTCATCAAAAAAACACATTTAACTCAAAAGGAGATTTACAGACTAAAAGTCAAAAGGGAAAAAAACAATGTTCCATGTGACAGGAAATCAGAAAAAAAGGGGGTATAAGAAACATATGGCATTTCTAGACAATGGGAAGCTACTCAGCTATAAAGAAAGATATTCTCAAGGCTCTTGTAGGTAAATGGATATGACTTGAGATCATGCTCATGGATGATACGGTTCAGAGTCACATGAGTGAACATTGTGTTGTCTCCCTAGTATAAAAAACTAAAGGAGTTAGTACAATCCGAAATGCACAATAGATGCTGCGAAGGTGAAAGAGGAGATGTCTAGAAGGGGGAGGTAGTGGTCATTGTTAATCTATATCCTGTTTTGGAACCCTGTTTTGTTTTCATTGTTCTATTTATCTTGGTTTTATTCTAATTTTGTTTTGTTTGATTTTATCATATTTGATGGCATAGACAGTTATTTCAAAAATAACAAGGTATATATAGTAACCATTATTGATTTGAAATTATCTTGTTTTGAAGCCCTGTATTGCTTTTTTCTTTTGATTGATTTTATTCTATTTTGTTTTATTTGATTTTATTACATCTGATGGTATAAGCAGCTACTTTGAAGATAAAAATAAGCATTATGGTAGCCACTGTTGTAACCCTATTGCCTTGTTTTGAAGTCCTGTATTGCTTTCATTGTTTTGTTTTGATTGGTTTTAATCTGTTTTGTTTTGTTTGACTTTATTATACCTGATGGTATGGGCAGTTATTTTGAAGGTAACAAGAGGTTTATGGTAGCCATTATTGATTTCCTTTTATCTTGTTTTGAAGCCTTATATCATGTTCATTATTTTGTTTTGATTGACGACTCTACTTTGTTTTGTGTCTGACAGTATAAGCAACTGCTTTGAAGATAATAAGTAATGGTAGCCACTGTTGTATTCCTATTGTCTTGTGTTGAAGTCATGTTTGTTTTCATTGTTTGGGGTTTTTTTGGTTTTATTCTGTTCTGTTTTGTTTGATTTTATTGTGCCTGATGGCATAGGAAGTTATTTTGAGGATAGCAAGAGGCATCACGATAGCCATTGTTGGTTTCCTTTTATCTCATTTGAAGTCTTGTATCATGTTCATTGTTTTGTTTTGTCTGTATTCTGTTTTCTTTCTTCCAGTTTTACTTTCTTCAAAATAAAAAATAAAATAACGTTCTTGAGCTGTATGGTGGTGATGGTCACATAACAATATGCATGTGCTTAATGTCATTGAACTGTATACTTAAAAAGTGAAGAATGGAATTGGGCATGGTGGTACATACCTGTAATTGTAGCACTCAGGAGGCTGAGGCAGAAGGAACTTGAATTTGAGACAAGTGAGTCAAGGCTAGCCTAGACTACATGGCAAGATTCATCTCAAAAAAAGGTAGAATGGTAAATTTCATGTGACATGTTTATTTCCCATCATATATAGTATGATACACTACTTTAACCAAAACATCATTAATAGATTAAATGCAGAAGCAAATATAAAAATCCAGAAGTCTATTAAACCACTCAATATAATTTGCAAAAAAATGAAATACAATTTCACTCTTCACTCTATTTTTGGCTTTTAAAAAGTTATTTTTTACTCGGCATAGTGGTGCACTCCAAAAATCCCAGCACTTGGGAGGCTGAGGCAGGAGGATTGCCATGAGTTCAAGGCTAGCCTAAACTACATAGGAAGACCCTGTTTCAAAAAAAAAGAAAAAAGTTATTTTTTATCTAAAGTGCTTATGTTAATATATAATGACCGGCTTTTAATGAATTTTTAAATTTTCTTAGTTTTAACTTCCAATATGTTGAATAGTAATAGACTACATATTCTCCCAGGAGTCTTAAGGGGTCCTAAGATCACAGTTGAAGAACCACTTACTAGAGAAATTTTGACAAGGAGTTATGGTCAGAAATGTTCACAAGAACATGACTTGTAGAGTTGGGCATAATGGCAAATGCCTGAAACCTCAGCGCTCGGGATGCCACGGCAGGAGGATTACTGTGAGTCCAAAGCCAGTTCAGGTTACATGGTGAGTCCAAGTCCACCCTGAACTACATTGCAAGACCCTGTCTCAAAAAAAAAAAAAAAGAAAGAAAAGACGCTCTGGATTTAGCTCAGTGGCATAATTGCCTGAGGTCATGAGTTCAATCCCTGAAACTCCCCCAAAAAAGATTACCACTTACAAAAGCAAAAAAAATTGAAAGAAATCTAGTAGTCTATCAGCCATACTATGGCCTATCACTTTTTAAAACTGAAATAAATCTACATGTACTGAAATAAAAATACTTTCATAACACCGAATAAAAAACTTGTAGAATATGTACAGAATAGTAAATAAAAACAAAACACAATCAATTTTCTAGGAAAAATAGAAAAACAAAAAAATCTATATGTTACCAGAATACATAGCATCAGTCAACAGCAGTCACTTAGGAGGAGGATCATGTATAATGGCCAAAATACACTTTTATTATTTCTGTATTTTACAAGAATACTACTGGAATAATTAAAAAATACCAGGACAGAAGCAGCAAGCAGGGCCCAGAATCCAGTCCTGGGCCCTGACCACGTGCATGGGTTGAATTTCAGTGCACCAGGAAAACTTGGAACTCTGCTCCCAGGTGGTAAGACCATGCCCCGTTGTCTGAAATCACCCTAAACCCACAGGAGGTACCAGCAGGCCTAACCTAGTCACACCCAGCCACTTCTAAACAGCAAGCAGGGCCCAGAATCAGGTCCTGGGCCTTGACCAGCCCAAGGGTTGAATTTAAGTGCACCAGGAAAACTTGTAACTTTGCTAACAGGTGGTAAGACCATGCCCTGCATCTGAAATCTCCTTTTTGAAAGGACATCTGAAATGACATTTGAAAGGACACATGGAGTCCCTGCAGGTCCATCTGGCCCACACCAAATAAGCTCCAAGTGGCAAGCAGTTGCCAGCAGTCTGTCTCGGGAGCCAAAAGTGGGCCAGGTGATTCCCAGTGTACCAAGAAAGCTTTGAAACATCGCTCAAAACCCGGAAATAGGAGTGACTCCAGCTGGAACTGAGGAATGCCACGCCACCCTGGGATCTTGGCCCTGGACTCTGTGAGCTTCCTCTGTGACTCTCAAAGAGATAGATTAATTAGACAAAAAGTCAGCAAAGAAATATAAGAACTGAATCATACCTGTGAGCAATTCAATTTAGTACATATTTACAGAGTGCTCCACCCAACCACATCATAATACACATTCTTCTCAGCTGCACAAAACAGATCATATATAATCCCATAAAACATTCTTAAGTAACTGCAAATGTATTGAAATTATCCCATGCAAAATATAATGCATAGTGCACTGAAATTGGAAATTAATGGCAAAAGAAATTGTAAAACCTGCATAAATACATGGAAATTAAATAACAATCTTCTGAACAACCAGTGGGCTACAGATGAAATTAAAGAAGAAATAAAGCCATACCTACAATTCAATGAAAATGCAGAAACACCATACTGTAATGTTTGGGATGCAATGAAAATGGTCTTAAGCGGGAAATACATAGTAATAAATTGTCATATCAAGAAAACAGAATGAGCACAAATAAACAACTTAATGCTTCATCTCAAGCTTCAAGAAAAAAAAGAGCAAGTTAAACCCAAAGTTCATAGAAGAGAGGAAATTGTAAAGATTAGAGCAGAAATCAATGCAATTGAAACTAAAAAAAATACAAAGAATTAATGAATCAAAAAGCTGGTTCTTAGAGAGAATAAACAGAATTCACAAACCTGTAGCTAACCTTATACAGAAAAGAAAGGAAAAAAATCCAAATTCATACAATAAGGACTGAAAAGGGGGAAATTATGACAGATCCCATGGAAATTCAAAAGATCATAAATACCTACTTTGAAAATCTCTACTCACATAGAGTGAAAAACAGAAAAAATGGACAGATTTCTAGAACATATGAACTACCAAAGCTCAACCAAGAAGATATAGCAATTTTGAATAAGCCAATTTCAGGTATTGACATTGAAAATATAATTAAAAACTTACCAACAAAGAAAAGTCCAGGTCCTGATGGATTCACAGCTTAATTCTACAAGAAATTTAGAGAAGATTTGATGCCAATACTCCTTAAACTCTTCAATGAAATAGAAAAGGAAGCAATCATCCCTAAATCATTCCTGGAGGCAAAAACCAGAGAAAGACCCAGCCAAAAAGGAGAACTAGAGGCCAGTCTCACTAATAAACATTGATGAAAAGACTCTCAATAAAATATTGGCCAATAGAATGTAGAAAACCACAAAGAAGAGAATACATCATGACCAAGTGGTATTCATCCCAGAAATGCAGGGATGGTTTAACATATGCAAATCAATAAATGTAATATACCACATCAACAGAGCCAAAAACAAAAACCACATGGTCATCTCAATAGATGCAGAAAAACCTTTCCGTAAAGTCCAACACCTGTTCATGATAAAAACTTTTCAGAAACTCAGAATACATGGTGTCTACCTCAATCTTATAAAGGCCATCTATGACAAAACAACAGCCAACATTATACTAAATGGACAAAAACTGAAAGCTTTCACTTTAAAATCAGGAACAAGATAAGAATGTCCACTATCACCACTCCTATTCAATATAGTTCTAGAAACACTAGCCAGAGCAATCAGACAAGAGAAAGAAACAAAAAGAATAAAGATAGGAAAGAAAGAAGTTAAATTCTCACTATTTGCAGATGATATGATACTTTATATAGAAGATCCAAAAAACTCCATTAAAAGACTACTAGAAGTAATAAACAAATTCAGCAGTGTATCTGGATACAGAGTCAGTGCTCTAAAATCAATAGCATTCCTGTACACAAACAAAAAACTCACCGAGAGAGAAACTATGGAAATATCACCCTTCACAATAGCGTCTAAGAAAATGAAATACTTAGGAATCAACCTAACTAAGAATGTAAAAGACCTATATGCTGAAAATTATGTTACGCTAAAAAAGGAGATTGAAGAGGATATTAGAAAATGGAAGAATATTCCTTGCTCTTGACTAGGAAGAACAAACATTGTGAAAATGGCCATACTGCATAAACTCTTATACATATTTAATGTAATCCAAATCAAAACACTAGTAACATATCTCACAGATCTAGAGAAAACACTCCTCAAATTCATTTGGAAACAGAAGAAAACTAGAATAGCAAAGGCAATTCTGGGCAACAAAGGCAAGGCAGGAGGCATCTCAATTCCTGACTTGAAAACTATACTACAAAGCCACAGTGATAAAATCAGCATGGTACTGGCAAAGAAATAGAACCGAGGATCAATGTAACAGATCAAAAGATGCAAGCACAACTACAAAGACACTCAGCCACCTGATATTTGACAAAGGGCCTAAACATGTTCATTGGAATAAGGATAGCCTCTTTAATAAACGGTGTTGGAGGAGTAGAGCAAATATGGCAGATAGACAACAGCTGGCTACATAGACTCCCTGAGATAGTCAACTTAGAATTCAATATAATACATCATGGGGAACCCCAAACAGAGGGAGATGAATTATCTCATCCCAAGAAGAAACTAAGGTGAGAAAAACCAATTAAACATACAGTCCCGGTACTATTATTGGAACAGCTCAAGGTTTAGTGTTCCCAGTGCAGTGGATGACTTGCCAAGCTGTCCAAGGTATTGCCACTTCAAATCACAGGAGGAATGGAGGCACAGTCACACTAAGGTCGGGGATTGGACAGACGAAAGGAGAACTGAGCTGGCAGGGAGCCTGCATCAACAGTGACAAGAGTGGAGCCATTCCACAAAAAAGGAGCTCCAGCAGATGATATTCTGGGACCAGGCAGGACTGGCAAGTACAAAGCACAGCAGTGACTTCAGTCAATTGTTCCTTTCCTGAACAGGATTAGTGGATTGAGCTACGCCTGGGTCATGCAAACTGCCTGAGACCCAATAGGTTATCCGAAATCAATTCCCTACATTGGCACACACTAACCACACTACGGAGAGAAGCCTAAGAAGCTTGACTGATTCGGAGTGGAGACAGTGCATAGTAATACAGTGCAAGCCTCAGCAGCTTGACGGATCCAGAGAGGAGAGGCCAGCATACACCGCGCCTATCTGCAACTCACTAGCACACTGCAGTGGTGCTTCAGAAGAATTCTAACCAACAAGGAAAGAAAAGTAGTAAGAAATGTCAGAGTAAAAAAGGAGGTGGAACTGCCTTATCCTACTTTGAGCGTGGCCTCAAGCAATACCAATCTGAGAAAAGGACTGGTCATTAAAGCATCTGAGAAAATACAGCTTTGTCACCAAACTAATTGGTTAATTTTCCCCCAGTCAGATGGGAAGAAACCTAGGGGGCCATTAATTAAGAGTAATGGTTTATGCATGGCCAGGAATACTAAGGATCCTCAACTAGCAACAACAGATACTGCTACTAAAATGACCAAAATTAAAATGTATGGGGAAAAATTTAAAAACTTGACAGTTGGCATCATTACAATGAAATGTACCAGCAAATGTAAATTTGAACTATGAAATACCATTTTCATCAAAGAGTTTGGCTAATTACCAATTACTTAAATTTTTACCATTTTTGGCAAGAAGACTTCTTGTGGGAAAATAATTTCTCCATTTTTACTGGGAAAACAGAAATGCTCACATGCTTTTAGCAGGAGCCCAAACTATAATCTTTAATAAGGCATTTTAGCTGTATCTATCAAAATACAAATTGCACACCTTCTCTGACTCAGCAATAACCTTCTCTCAAAATTTATCCTACAGGGGCTGGAAGTATAGCTCAGTGGTACAGCACATAACTAGCATGTGTTAAACTCTGGGTTCCATTCCCAGTGCAACAACAAAAATTGAAACACAGAAGCAAGATTATATGTAGCATTATTTATAATAGTGAATGATTGAAGATGTATTTCCATCCTTAAGTGATTCACTAAATTCTGACACTACTATACAGGGGATATAGCACAGCGGCACAAGCACCTGCCTGGTAAGTGCAAGTTCCTGAATTTGATTCCTAGTACTGAAAAAAAAATGTTATACAACCACATGTGGTGGTGCATGCCTGTCATCCCAGCACTCAGGAGGCTGAAGGAGGAAGATCACCACAGAGTCCAAGACTATCCTGGACTACACAGGGAGACACTGTCTCAAACAATAACATAACATAAAATAACAACATAGAATAGCATAGCATAGCATAACATAATACATTATACAGCCATTTTTAAATGAAGTAAATATCCTTGTGTTAATGCAAGAGGAAGTACATAATATGTTGCACAGTGAAAAGTTGTAAAATACAACAACATGTAATAACACATTTTATTTTTTAAAACTATATATAAGTGTGTGGGTATTCCTATACATATATGTGAGTAATAAATGTATACACACACAGAAAAAGGTCTCAGAAGACATACTAAATTAAAAGCTACTTTTAATGAATGGGAATAAGAAGAAAGATTAAGAAATTTTTCATTTTTTACTTTACATATTTGTTGTTTGAATTTTGTCAGCTTTTATTTTTAAAATTTTATCACAATAAAACATTTTAACAAAATAAGCACATTTATAATCAGATCATGAAGTTATAATTATATATATTTTAAATATGAATAACCCTATATAGGTAAAAGGTGACTGTTGAAAAACTTCAGCTAAAAAACCAAAGATAAATTTAGGGCAATTGTGTAAAGCCAATTAACAGTTTCAGTGGGGGCACTCATGACTGGATACAATGGGATGTGAGCAAACAAAATGCAAACAGGGTAAATGAAGAGTCATTCACTTCTGGAAGAGAAAACTATGCTACATAAAACTCTATGATATTCAGCAAAAAAAAAGTTTTCACTTTTTGTATAGTATCACTCCCAGGGTTTATTGAACTCCTAGGCAAGGATGGCAATCAAAAAATCAGAGCTTGGGGGTGGTTCAGTAATGGGAATTGAGCCTAGGACCCTTGCACTGAACTACATCCCCAGTCATTTTTTGTTTTTTTATTTTCAGTCATGATCCGGCCACTAAATCTCTAAATTTCCCAAGTTTGGCTCAAATTTGCAATCCTCCTGCTTCAGCCTTTCAGAGCACTGGGATTATAGGCATGGATATAGTTCAGTGATAAAAGTATGTGCATGGTATGCATAAGCCTCTAGATTCAATCCCCAGCATCAAGAAAAAAATACCTCAGAGACCATTTAATCAAATTTCATTTTATATTTGCACAAACAGGGCTGAAGTGGTAAATGAGTTTGCTTAAGATCGTATAGCCAACTACAGAAGTCAGATTTCTATTCCAGCCTCAAATACTTCCTTTCAGATCTTCCCAAATCTTCAGTTATGACATAAGGTATTTTTCAGCTTATAAATATTAGCTACTCCTATATTTAAACTTTTAAAAATACATCAAAAATTTAAAACGTATATGCCTCCATTAGTGCAGATGTTAAATGAAAAGTTGCCTTGTTTAGAAAAGCATGATGGTACATCCCTGTAATCCCAGCACTCAGGAGGCTGAGGCAGGAGGATTACTGCAAGTTCCAAGGCCAGCATGAACTACAAAGTGAGTTCAAGGTTAGCCTGAAGTGCATAGCAAGATCCTATCTCAGAAAGATGAAGAGAAAGAGGAAGAAGAAGGGGGGGGGTGAGGGGGAGAAGGAGAGAGAGGAGGGGGAGGAGGAGGAGAAAGAAGAAAAAGAAAAAGAGGAAGAGGAGGAAAAAAAGAAAAAAGCAGGAGCCAGATGTGGTGGAGCATACCTGTAACCTCAGCACTCTGCAGACTGAGGAAGGCTAAGATTGGGTAACTTAGTAAGATCCTGTCTCAAAATACAGCAGGCATCTATGGCCATACCAAAATGTATGCACCTGATCTCTGAAAGGTTCTTGCCCTAGTATAAATTACTGTACAATTATGGAGGTGATCTAAAGTGGCAGAAGGCCAAAGTGGTAACACTTACCACTTCCTGCTTCTTCTTCAGCCCTAATTGCAACACCCCTTCTTGCTTGCCTGCACAGAGAATTCCCATGGGTTCCTCACATATCATCAATATCCGCCCCATGTGCCACTTCTGATCAGAGGTCATATAACCCTCTGCCTCTCTATATCTGGTCAAAGGAGACAGCCCAACCACCATGGGTTATTTGCTCCTTTCTACACCCTCAATAAACCTGTTCATTTTGTACTTTTTGCTTCTCTATTGCACCAGAATACTATAACAATCTCAAAATAAAAATAAAAAGGGCAGGGAATGTAGGCTAGTGCAAAGGCCCTAGTTTCAGTCCCAGCACCAAAAATCAGGTATAATAATAACATTTTTGTGAAAGTACATAAAATTTCTGGGAATCTAACTGCATTTTACTTTTGGAAAACTAGTTTTCTCCTTAATTCTAAACGATTTACAATGGGCAGTGCCTTTTAACCCCGTACCTTCAATTTCTCTAGATCAAGTAATTGATGACCTATATACACCTTAAAATCACCACAGCAATCACCTATTTAAAGGGAGCTTGTACTGATTTCAAGAACGCTTTTGTGATACGGATAATTATCCCCTATTTTTTCTGTTTCTAAGGAATGAATTCTCTCACCTTTGAAAGCACAGACAGACTAGATAGATGCAAACAAACAGAGCAGCAAGACAAAATAAACGTAAATTAAGCTGGATGCAGAAAGCATACATCTATAATCCTGGCTACTTGGGAGGCTGAGGTAGAAGGATTACATATTTGAGGCCAGCCTGGCAACACAGGGAAACCTTCATCCCAAAATGAATTGAATTAAATTGAATTGAAAAAAAATTTTGCATAAGAAAAAAAGGAATGGCGGTAGAGCAAAGATGGCAGATAGATAACAGCTGGCTACAGAGGCTCCCTGACATAGTCAACTTAGAATTCAATATAATACAGCATTGGGGAGCCCCAAAAAGAGGGAGATGAATTATCTCACCCCAAGAAGAAACCAAGATGAGAAGAACCAATCAAACATACAGTCCTGGTGCTATTATTGGAACTGCTAAAGATTCAGTGCTCCCGCCGCAGCAGGCAATTTGCTGAGCCATCTGAGGTCCCACCACTTTGACTCACTTGAGGGGCAGTCACACTGAGGTCGGGGGTTCAGCCAAATGAAGAGCTGAGCTGGCAGGGAGCCTGCATCAACCTGTGGTGAGTGATGGGACTGGAGCCATTCCACAGAGAAGGTGTCTCAGGCGGATGGCATTCTGGGACTGGACAGGACTGGCAAGTACAAGGGGCAGCAGTGACTTCAGTCAGTTGTTCCCTTCCTGAACAGGATTGCTGCAGTGAGCTAGGCCTGGGTCACACGACCTGGCTGAGACCCATTAGGTTATCCAGAATCAATTCCGTACGGTGGTGGCACACACTAATGCAGTGAAGCCTCAGAAGTTTGACTAACCGAGAGGGGAAGGGGCACATAGTAATACAGTGCAGGCCTCAGCAGCTTGACTGATCCAGAGGGGAGGGGCCAGCATACACTGCCCCTGTCTGAAACTCATTAGCACACTGCAGTGGGAAGGGTTACCTAGCTAGCATGCTTCAGAATTATAACCAACAAAGAAAGAAACTGGGGACTCCTGGAAGAAACAAAAAAGATAGGAAGAGGAAGCAACAACAAAAAAGTCCCCAGGTCCCAACCCTGAGAACACTGACCCAGGACAGGTAAATACAAAGGAGAATGAGAACAGCAAACAAGCAATATCAGACACAGCACCAGTGGACATAAAGAGATATCTTCGGGACCTCATAGATGAGTTCAAAAGTGAAATATTTAGTCAAGTAAAGCAAGATATAAGAAGATTAATAAAAGAGATGCTAAGCACCCCTCAAACAGACACAAACAGAAGAAGGGAAGAACTCAAACAAAGGAGAGAACCATTTGGTGAAGAATATAAACAAAATATAGAACACATGAAGCAGATTCAAAGAGATTACCAGGAAATTTAAAACTCTATGGAAAGATGCCAAACCTGCATGAAAGAAACTAAGGATAGATTATCCAAGCTGGAGGACAGTTTTGCAATGTGGGATTATGAAAGGAAAAGCTTTTTAAAAATAACAAGGAACAAGCAGTAACAATACAAAGGCTAGAAGACGACAAGAAGATCTACAACTTGACAATAAAGAATGTGAATGAAGAAGCAGGGGCACAAACAAAGGAGCTTCAAAGGCTACTCACAGAAATAATTAAGGAAAACTTCCCAAACATAGGGAAAGGAAATGATATTCTGATGTACGAGGCATACAGAACTCCAGCCACCTACAACCAAAACAGAGCTACATCCAGGCATATAATAATCAAGATCCCAGAAATTCAATATAAGAACACAATATTAAAAGCTGTTAAAGACAAGAAACAGATCACCTATAAAGGAAGGCCCATCAGAATAACGGCATAGTTCTCGACACAAAGCATCAAGTCAAGAAGAACCCGGAGTAAAATATTCCAAGCCCTGAAAGAAAATAACCTCTAACCCAAATTGATATACCCTGCTAAACTGTCTCTAGAAATTAATGGAGAAACAAAGATGCTTCCAAGACAAAGAGGAACTTGGGAACTTCACAATCACCAACCCAACTCTACAAAGAATATTGCAGGGCATTCTACTGAGAGAGAAAAGTACTAAGATTCCAGGAACAGTGGAAGAGAAGCCTCAATGACTGGAGCAGAAAACAGAATGAAGAAGATAAGCAGACAACTGATGACAAAAAAAAGAGCATAAGAGAAATGAGGCAGAGAAGGTTGGTTATAATCTCTAATATAGGTGGCCTTGATACACTAAATTAAAAAAAAAGAATCACATGTGGAGCAGATCAGGAGGCAGGGTCCACCAAGATGATATTTATAGGAAATTTAATTAACATGAAAAAGAGTACATGGACTGAAAATCAAATATGAGAAAACAATGCTCTATGTGACAGAGAACCAGAGAGTAATAGGGGCAACTAGACCAATATTTGTGGATAGGGTAAAAAGACAGGCTTTAATAGGTAAAGGAACACAATTAGAGATCAAGTCCAGGAGAGACAAGGTTCGGAATCACTTACGTAAATAGCAGGTTGCCCCCCACCAATTTAAAACCAAGGGTCTTGGTCAGACCCAAAAATGCACAGTGTACCCTGGGGAAGTGAAAGGGGAGGGAGAGTCTTAAAAAAGATGGCAGAAAATATTGTTAATAGTGTATCAGGATTTAAAACCCACATTACTCGTACCACTCTGCTTAGATAGATTTTATTCTTTTTTTGATAGATTTTATTCTGTCCCAGTTGTCTACTTGCATTAGATTCAAGGGCACAGACAGCTATCCCAAAAACATCAGGATATAGCACACTAATCATCTTTAATTTCATATTACCTTAATCTAGAGCCCTGTATGACTTGTACTGTTTTATCATGACTGATCTTAGTTAAATCTAGTTTGTTTGATTGCTGATTTTATTCAAAACTGGTGATTGATAGTATCAAGTCTGAGAGTATAGGCAACTACACTGAAGATGACAAGACTCTACAATACACATTCTGGTTAAATAACTGCCTGCCTTTGAAGTTTTATACTATATACAAAGTTCTGTTTTTATTAATATTGTTACATACTGATATATTCAATTATACTATGTCTGATGATATAGCCAATTCTATTGAAGATAACAAGAGATAACACAGGAACTATGGTAGAACTCCTTGTACAACCGTCTTATATGTCTTTTTCGTTTCATGTGTTTATAGGAATATGTTTTGTTTTGTCTTGCTTTGATTTGTTTCTCCAATATAGAAAGGATAACAATACATGTTAAGACTCATGCATGTGTAGAATTTATAAACAGTTTATGAGAACTGATCTTATGACACATGATGAAATGAACAGATACTTTGAAGAAAGAAACACTAAAGTACCCAGTGCTGATCCTGGAGGGTCATAATGTAACACCCAGAAATAGTACTATTCTTTGTTCAGAGTGATATTAGACTGCTTGGGTTTCTTCTATCTCAACATAAATGAAGATATGGATAACTGCATGTATGTTTAAGTGTATAGGCTTTATAACCATATTACCAAGTTTTTGATGGATAGTTGAACAGAACTGTTTGCCATCTCGCTGTTTGAATTCTCACTTTATATGTTCCACTTTTGTATCTTGAACAACTATTTGTAAAAGGACATTATGTAAACATTAACTAGTGATTTCTTTTTATTTTTTCCTCTGAATGTATGTATTAGTTCTGCTCATTTTCTGTTTTGTTTAGTCTTTAAATATTTTTTTTAATTTTTTAAAAAAGGAATAAAGGGTGGTAGTTGGTGAGGAAGGAAATAGCAGAGAACCACAACCTAATTTAGTCAAAAAGAGTTTGTATTTTAAAAGTAAGCTTAAAGACTGAGACAGGAGGATTGCTGTGAGTTTGGAGACAACCTGGGTTACATAGTGTGTTCAAGGTCAGGGTGAACTACACAGTAAGATTCTGTCTCAAAAACCAAAAAAAATTAAAGATAAAAAAGTAAACATGAATACTATGATATATAAATTAAATAACACCCACATAACATGTACGTTTTAACTAAAGTGATAATTCAGTTTTAGACTCCATGACTTAGGCATATGGAAGGACCTTAGAGAGATTTTATAATAAAAATAAAAGGGTTAAAACATGATCCAAATGAAGAACAATTAGAACTGTTACTGTATCTAAGAAAAGCCATGTTCTCAAGAATATGAAAGAAGTCCAATTCAGTGACCACTTAAGTCTGCATTTCCACTGCAGAAAGTAATTTTACTTAAGTAAAATTACAGCATGTGTTTCAACACAGATGTGTCTTACCTGGAATACCTATCAAATAAAAAATCCAAAGAATCCTGAATGTTATTCACCTCTCCCAGTTTACTAGGTCAACTCCATCTCAAAGAGTGGGTCAAAGGGTAGATAAGGCACCTTTGGAAAATGAAGCTTTAGATTCCTTTTAGTTCTAGCTATGTTGAAAATTTGTTGTTGACCTCTGTCTCCCAGATCCGACTGTAAGGTTGAGCCCTTTCTATGCTGTGGAGAAGAGAATTCAAAAGTAGTCAACACCAAGAAACATGGGAAAACTTAAATTTCTTAGAAAATGATGCTTTACTTCAGTATTCATGGGTAAGAGGGCTTGGATTTAGGGCTATTGTAGGATCTGGTTAGCATGCTAAAATCACCAATTTGACTCTAAAGAGAAAATTTAACTGGCTTGATATTTAAAACAGGGAAAAAAGCAAAGGGGACCAGAGATTAAGCTCAGTGGATAAGCATCTGCCTGGCAAGCATGAGGTTGTGAGTTCAATTTCTGGTACAGAAAAAAGAAAAAAACTAAAAAACAGAACAAGGAATACTGGACTGTTAACCAGATGTGCCTGAACCTGTCATCTTACTTTGTCTCCAACATTTTATTGTTTTATACAATACAGAAATCTCTTGAACTAAAGTCTAAGGTCTATGAAGAAATCTGATCATATTTTACTTGTACCACAACCACCACCCCATTCCACTCCCAACCCAGTTTTTAGCAAAAGGCTGGGAACACACAATACTATTAAATAACACTTTTTAAACTAATGTCAAAGATGGAGGAGCAGTAAGTAGCAGAGAAAACAGCCTCTCTGACAGTCACCACTCAGACACCGGTCTACAAAATCGTGAATAAGACAAGATGGAAGGAAGTGGGTCCCCTGGACCCAGAAAGAATATGAAGTGTGAATTGAAGCCCACAGAGAGAGTGAAAAGTAAAACTTCAAAAACGAAGAAAATGGTAGCCAGCAGTGCCGTTGCCCTGAGACAGGACTCACTGCACAAGAGGAGTTGTTGCAATCTGTGGATGCACTGTCACAGTGACTGGGACTGCTGGTGATCCTGGAGGCCTCTGTAGAAAGATGCAGCAATGGAAGGGAATGGCAGACATGGAGAACTGCACTGGCTTGCACTGAGTGCAGAGGACTCACTCCTCCCATGGGAGAGGGCAATTACCTGGGAGCCATTTTGGAGTCAGGTCAGATAAGCCCAGAATCCAGAACTGCTGCCAGCTTCCTCTAGCAGCTCCTAGCTGGGTGCAGACCAGTGGAAATTTCTTGGACTGCAGCAAATCCAATGAGTCTGGTCTCAGGGAAGGCCTGCTAAGGTCATCTACTATTTTGCCATAAAGCAATTGCTGCTTTGCTGGGATAGAGAGGCACAATTTGGGACTCTGTCTCCACAGGCTGTCTGCTAGCAAAACCAGAGTGAATCCTGGAAGTGGACTGTTTTTCTTTTTCATTTTTTTTTCTCTTTTTCCTTCATTGGTTATATATGAGTGCAAATGCGGTTCTTAACCACTTTGTGGGTGTGGTACTGTTCTGTTCTTACTTTTATCTATTCCATCTCTTTTCCTTCAGTCTTCTGCACCAGTTTCCCCAAATTGGCATGATCCACCTTTGTTTTCCAACTTTACTTCTAATCTCCTTCTCTTCTTCCACTTCTACACTTTGTCCATAATCCATTTTAAAGTTTAACCCTCGAGGTCAAAACTGGCACATCATAGACTTCTATACTGCATATAATTATCTGGTTTTACATTTTGTTAGGATACAGGGATTTAGATCAGTGGCATAAGTGACTACCTGTTTTACATTTTGTTATATAATCACAAATCTAGTTCACATGGCTAAAAGTTGTAAATTAAGGGTTAGATTAGTTTGTTTTTTCTAGGCTATGTTGGTTGCTACTGGTACCACTACAGCCAAAACTGACATAATTGTTCTAAACAGCTGTTGGTCCTGATAATTCACAACTGAGATTAACTAAGGGTTACAGAAAATATGGTGACATAGTGCCAAAGAACCAGGGACTAGGCCAAATGAGCGACAACTTCTCATCTACAACAAACTAAGGAGGTAAAAACTTCCAACAGACCCAAAACCCAAAAACCAGCTACACCTAGAAGATACCTCGGAGAAGTAATCATCACATAAGAGTCCTAAATACTACCAGTAAAGCAACCCACCATAGGCAACTGACAAGCATCACCCCGGAAATTAAACTAATAAAAGAAAAGAAATGAGAAGATACGTAAACAAGATGCAACCCCGGACATTCAGTTCATCAAAGGCAAATCCACAGGGCTATGAGGTGGAACAATGTGAAAGCCAGTGACCAGGTCTCTCTGAAGTAGAAACAACAAAGCAACTGAATGAGGCTCTGCAAAAAATATCAGAAATAACCTCTGAGATAACTACAGAGATTGCCAAAATACACACTACTCTTTGCGACATTAGAGAAGACACAGACAAAAAAATAGATGAGAATAAGAAAATTATGGAAGCACAACTTAGGAAACAAATGGAACCCAGAACACAAATTCAAGCAAATATCCAGGAAAATAAAAACTCCATTGAAAGTATTTGAAGTAGGGGCTGGGGATTTAGCTCAGTGGCATAAGCGCCTGCCTTGCAAGCACGCAGTCGTGAGTTCAATCCTTGGTACCGATTAAAAAAAAAAAAAGAAAGAAAGTATTTGAAGCTGATTAGGACAATGTGAGGACAGGGTCTCAGATACTGAAGACAGACAGGCTTGCAGTTAGTGACCAGGAAAAGAAAGATTTCTCAAAACTAGCACACACCATGAGAAATCAATCCAGCAGCTGCTAGATGATACAAAAAAGAAACTTAAGATTAACTTAAATTGGGCCAGGGATATAGCTAAGTGTCACACAGCCTGCCTGGCAGGCACAGGGTCATAAGCTTGATTCCTAGTACCAAAAAAACTTAATTTGAGTCAATTAACAACAGGAGATACCACAAATGACATTAAAAAATGTTCATAGACATCATGTTGGAAAACTTTCTGGTAGAGAAAAAGAATTTGACATACAAATAAGTGAGACATATAGAACTCCAATTAGCAATGTTCAAAAACAATCTATAGCCAGACATATCATAGTCAAGACTCCAGATATTCTCACAAAAATAGAATCCTAAAAGCTGTTAGAGAAAAGTATCACCTACAAAGGAAAGCCCAGCTGACTTCTCAGCACAAACTCTCAAGTCAAAAAGAGCTTGAAGTAAAGTACTCCAAGTTCTAAAGGACAACAACTTTCAACCCAGATTAATGTACCACACAAAATTATCTTTCAAAATTGACGGAGAAATAAGATACTTCCATGACAAAGAACATCTGAGGAAATTTATGACCACCAAACCACCACTCCAAAATGTCCTGAAAGACATTCTACAAAGAGATAATAAGGACTACAGCTCCATGAACCCCAACAGAGGGGATCCACCAGGAAAAGCAAACAATTAGAGGGGGAAATTGAGGGACCCAACAACAGGAAAATAACATGACAAGGATAAGTCAATACATATTAGTTTTAACCATCAATAGTAAGGGTCTCAGGGGCTGGGGATTTAGCTCAGCAGCATAAGCATCTGCTTTGGAAGCAGGCAGTCGTGAGTTCAATCCCCGGTACCAATAAAAAGGAAAAAAGACAAAAAAAAAATAGTAAGGGTCTCAATTCACGAATCAAAAGATGCAGACTACCAGAAAGAGTCAAGAAGCAAGATCCAACAATATGCTTCATACCACAAACACATTTAATTCAAACAGAAATTCATAGACTAAAAGTCAAAGAATGGAAAACAATACTCCATGCAACAGGAACCCAGAAAAAAGCAGGGGAAAATATTCTATTTGCAGACAAAGTGAATTTCAAGCCGAGACTGATTAAGAGAGATAAAGAAGGTCACTATATCCTTGCAAAGGGAGCAATCCAAGAGATAACAATCATAAATATATATGCAACAAATACCAGCACACCAAACTATATATTATATATAATATATTAATAATATAATAATTATTAATGGATGTGAAAAATCAAGCCATAATACAAGTGTATTGGGAATTCTCAAACACCCCACTGTCACAAAATAAAGGATCAACTAGACAAAAAATGGATAATGATATATTACAATTATATCAAACTTTTGAGCAAATGAACTTAGTGGATGTCTAAACAGTGTTCCACCCCAAAACATCAGAATATACATTCTTCTCAGCTGCACACAGGACATTCTCCAAAACAGACCATATACCTTGTCTGACAAGAGAGGTCATGAATTTGATTCCCAGTACCAAAAAAAAAAAAAAAAAAAAAAAAAAAAAATATATATATATATATATATATATATATATACACACATACCATGTATTGGCTCATAGAACATCCTTAAGTAAATGCAAAGGAATTGATATTACCCCATGCATACTATCAGACCACAGTGCAATGAAATTGGAAATCCATGCCAAAGGAAACCACAAGAAATTCGTAAATACATGGAACTTAAATAGCACCCTACTGAACAACCTATGGGTCACAGATGAAATTAAAGAAATTAGATTGCTTTTATAGTTGAATGATAACGTCAGTACAACATATCAGGACTTGTGGGACACAATGAAAACAGTCTTAAGAGGGAAATTTATAGAGCAAATACCCATATCAGGAGAAGAGCAAGCACATATAAACTTAATGTTGAACCTCAAACTTCTAGAAAATGAAGAGCAGGCTAAACCAAAAACTTGTACAAACGATGAAAATATGAAGATCATAGCAGAAATTAACACACTAGAGTCTAAAAAACAATACAAAGAATCAATGAATCAAAGAGTTGGTTCTCTGAAAGATTAAATAAAATTGAAAAACCCTTAACCAAACTTATCCAAAAAAGGAAAGAAAATACTCAAATCCACACAATTAGAATGAAAAGGGCAAAATCACAACAGACCCTTGCAGAAATCCAAAAAATCATCTATAACTCCTTTAAAAACTTGTATTCTAACAAGATGGAAAATACAGAAGAAATGGAAAGATACATATGAATTACCAAAGCCGAATCAAGAAGATGTAAAAATCCTAAATAACCCAATATTGATAAAATGAAATTAAAGATGCAATTAAAAACCTGTCAATAAAGAAAAGCCCAGGTCCTGACAGATTCATTGCTCAATTCTATATGAAATTTAGAGAAGACCTAACACCACTACTTCTCAAACTCTTTACAAAACCTGAAAGCTTTCACTCTAAAATCAGGAACAAGACAAGGATGCCCACTGTCTCCACTCTTACTCAACATAGTCCTGGAAACATTAGCTGGAGCAACTAGACAAGAGAAAGAAATGAAAGGAATAAAGATAGGAAAGAAAGAAGTTAAACTATTGTTATTTGCAGATGACATGATACTCAACTTAGAAGACCCCAAAAACTCCACCAAAACACTGCTACATTTAATAAGCAAATTCAATAACGTAGCTGGTTACAAAGTCAACACTCAAAAATCAATAGCCTTCCTGTACACGAATAACAAACTCACTGACAGAGAAATCAAGGAAACAATACCTTTTATAACAGCATCCAAAAAAATGAAATACCAGGCCAAAGATTTAGCTCAGTGGCATAAGTGCCAGCCTGGCAAGCGTAAGATTGTGAGTTTGATCCCTGGTAACAAAAGAAAAAAAAAAAGAAATACCTAGGAATCAATATAACAAAGGAGGCAAAAGACTTCTACATTGAAAACTACAGTACTTTGAAAAAGGAGACTGAAGAGGATATTAGAAAATGAAAAGATATCCCATGCTCTTGGATAGGAAGAACCAATATAGTGAAAATGGCCATAATTCCAAAAAATGTTATACAGATTCAATGTAATCCCAATGAAAATTCCAATAGTATCTCTCACAGAATTAAAGAAAACAATCCTAAAATTCATCTGGAATAGAAGAGACCTAGGATAGCAAAAGCAATCCTGGACAACAAAGACAAGACTGGGGACATCACAATCCCTGACTTGAAATTATACTAGAAATCTACTATGATAAAAACAGTACAGAACTGGTAAAAAAAATCAGACCCAAAGATCAATGGAACAGTTAAAAGATGCAAAAACAATTGCAGACACACTAAGCCACCTTATCTTTTTTTTTTTTTTGTCTCTTTCCTTTTTATCGGTACAAGGGATCAAACTCACGACCGCCTGCTTGCAAGGCAGGCGCTTATGCCGCTGAGCTAAATCACCAGCCCCCAAGCCACCTTATCTTAGACAAAGGTGTCAAACACATTCACTGGAAGAAAGATAGCCTCTCTAATAAATGGAACTGGAAAAACTAGCTCTACACATGCCAAAGATTAAAATCAGACCCCTATCTTTCACCATGTACTAAGCTAAAATCAGGATGGACCAAAGATCTTAATATTAAAACAGAAATATTGCATCTGCTGAAAGATAGAGTAGGCAAAACTCTTGAAGACACTAATATAGGCAAAGACTTTATGAGCAAAACCCTGATTGCTCAGAAACTATCACAAACAATCCACAAGTGGGATCTCATTCTACTAAAAAGCTTTTGCACAGCAAGAGAAACCACCAACAGAGTGAAGACAATACACAACATGGGAGAAAATATTTTCTAGCTGTTCCTCAAAGGACTACTATCAAGAACACATAAAGAACTCAAAGAAAAAATCAGTCATCCCAGATTTAAAGACCCAATCCAAAAATGGGCATCTGAGATGAATACTTATTTCTCAGATAAAGAAATACAAACAGCAAATAAATATGTGAAAAAATGTTCAGTATCATTCGAGATGCAAATTAAAACAACACTGAGATTCCATTTCATCAAAGAAAAAATGACTATTATCAAGAAATCAAGCAATAACAAATGCTGGAGAGGCTGTGGGGGAAAAGGAACCCATCTCCATTGTTGGTGGGAATGCAGACTGGTGCAACCACTACAGAAATCAATGTGGAGATTCCTCAGAAAAACAATGACTAGAGGTCCTATTTGACTCAGGTATTCCCCTTTGGGGTATCTTCCCAAAAGAATTAAAAACGGCATACCACAGTCATGTATGTACATCCATATTTATAGCAGCACAGTTTGTAATAGCCAGATCTTGAACAACCTAGATGCCCATCAACTGAGGAATGGATAAATAAAGATGTGGTATTTCTATGCAACAGACTACTACTCAGCCATAAAGGATAAACTGGAGACTTTTACAGGTAAATGGATGCATCTTGAGAACATACTCATTAGTGAGGTAAGACACACATATGTAATCATCATATTGTTGGCATTAGTGTGAGAACCTGAAAAACACGTATGTGCATGTATATGTATATAAAAATAATAAGATAGTTGATTTCTCTGAGTTCACTGAAGAGAAAGACTTGTGCTGGTGTTCAGACAACTGAATGCAGATGTCTTGTGCTGTGGGTGAATGATTTAGGGATGACAATGTTCAATGTATGTACCATTGTTGCCCCTGATTGACGTTTTGAAATTTTGTTGTATTTTTTTCTTCTAATTTTATCCTTAAAATACAATGGATTTTTATCAGATAAAAATTAATATCATATGCCCAAGATTTTAAAACTTTATTTTACAGCTGTTTTTTTCTAGTTACTCACCAGTTCATTCTCTAATACTGCTGCCTATAAAAAGTTATACCTCTTTACTCTCCCTTTATCAGATCCAAATGACTATTCTTCCATCCTCTCAGATATTTTTAATCATTTCATTCTTCAACCACCAAAAATCTCTTAACCTTCTTCGAGACATTATGGTGGCCATTGCTGATTTCCTATCATCTTCGTTTTGAAGTCTAATCATGCTTCTGTTCTTCTGTTTTGATTGGTTCTATACAGTTGCTTTATTTGATGTTATTATGCATGATAGTATAGACAACTTTTTTGAGGAAAGTAAGATATTATAGCAGCCATTGTTCATTTCCTGTTATCTGGTTTTGAAATAGTGTAATGCTTTCATTCTTTTGAGTGGTTTTATACTATTTTGTTATGCTTGATATTATTGTGTGTGAAGGTATGGTCAACTATTTAGAAGAAAACAAGAGACATAAAGGTAGCCACTGTTGATAATCCTGTTGTCTTGTGAAGTCGTGTGTTGCTTGCATTGTTATGTTCTAATTTATTTTGTTTTCTTTTGTTTTATTCTCTTTAAAATAAAAAATACATATAAGTGAAAAAAAATCTCTTAACCTTAACTAGGCTCCCACTCTTCTATTTAGAACCAAACTCTGAAGTTACCTTAATTTCCTCATGTTTTGAACACATCATCTTCTATAACTTCTTTCCGTTTTGAACTACATTAGAACTAACTTTTCAAATTATAAGACTACTATATCCCCTCATTCCAGTCCTTACCAGAACTCACTTGAATCAGAAAATTACTTGAGAATGCATTGGTCAGATGAAAATATCAATCTACCAAAAGTTCTCACGGTTCACCTACCTTTCTTCCTAAATCAAATCTACAATATGTGAAAGATAATAAAGTGTCAATTAACGTAAAAAGCCTCTGAAAGAAATAGTGCTTGTTGGTGGAATGGGGGTGTGCCAGAGGATGAGTACTTGCCTATGTGTGCATATGTACATATATTACATATACATACACACATATATAATATAAACATATTCTACCCCAAAAACCCACAAACTTAAAAACTGAATCTGTGAAATCTGGCCCAAACCACAGATATTGTACATATGGCTACTTCCTGCATATAGATACATTATCTCTGTCACAAAGTCAGTTGCAAGTTGCAAGAAAGGATAAATATTGCAACAGACAGGATACTTTTTTAAATTTATATGCAAAATATATCACCTCAAGATACTGACCATGGCCAGGCATGGTAACACATGCTTGTAATCCTAGCACTCAGGAGGCTGAGGCAGGAGGACCACTGTGAGTTCAAGGCCAGCGTGGGCTACATAGTGAGTTCCAGGCCAGCGTGGGCTACATAGTGAGTTCCAGGCCAGACTAAACCACATAGTGAGATCAAGTCTCAATAAAAAAGGCATTGACCATGTTGTATGACTTCTGCACAATACCCAGCATATCTTAGACACTAAGAAATACAAAATGTACAATTTAAGGAAGAAAACAGAGGCTTGCTTCACAGTGGTTTAATGTGAACAGATTTGAATGTGACATTTCCTGACAGAAGAATGAACAGTTTGCTGAATAAAAGCCCCGAATCAGGATATATACACAGCAGAAATGGGGCCTCAGACTCTCAGCACTTGTGCACAATGAAAGAAGAAATATTTTTTTTAAAATAAAAGGTTATAATAGAGGATACAAATCAAAAAGGCAGCAATACCAACACTGGTGAGGTGGGAAATAGAGCTCAGCAGCTACAGAGCTCATCTGTCTCAAGGTATGTCAACACTTAGATGAGTTCCACTCATCAAAATCTAATCCTAACCTCTCTGACCAGGGTCATATCAAAATCAGCTATCATTTCCCCAAGGTTCTATATAGGAAATTCTAATCCTTTCATGATAGGGATCTGAGCATAGGGCCTCTACTGTCACTGGGCACCAGAGTTAACTTGGTCTCATCCTACCACTTAGAAGAAACAGTGAACCCCAGCAAAAAAAAAAAAAACACTTCCTTCCAGACAAAAGTTCAGGACAGTTTTCAGCCATAAGAAGCTACTTTAGACTAAAATTTAGGAGATTCATTCCCAGTCACTAGCCCTGGGGAGAACACTGGAGTTCCGTGGGAAACAAGCACAGGCAGTTCAATAACCCTATGACCAAGCTGGGGAGAGCAGTGACAACCCATGGCCCTGAACCCCATTCAACAGCTCAAAGTGCTTAGGAAAAATCAGAGACTTGTGGTTTGTTTGTGTGCTTCGGCCCTTGGAATAGCTCTAAATGCGATGCAGAAGGGAGAATAAAAGAAAGAAAGTGGTAATATTCTTCCCTACAATCTGGAGGAACCTAGAATATGACCAACTGCCACCATTCAAGGAGTCACTTGACAGTGGAGAGTTATCCCCACCTTTTAAGCCAACAAACCTACAAAGCTAACTCATAAAGTAGCAAAGGCTTGGGATGGGAAAATTGCTGGCCCATACTGACCTACCTGCTGGTAAGCAAAAATAGGCAGTCATAGTATAGAGCCATAAAGAAAGGGGCAGGGCTAGGCAGCAAGAGCTCTCCTACTCCCTATGGCTTTCTTCTGACTCTGTAGCAGCCATGAAGATTGGCCCAGAAAACCCACACTTTGCTTTACACAACAGATTGCTTAGACTCTGGGATGATTACTGCCATGGAAAGCAACAAGGGAGCTTTTTGATAAAAATGATAAAAGAAACTGTTGAGAAAACTGGGAGTGGGCCTAGAGAAAAGATGGAGAGCTTCTGGATCTCTACCATTTTCCCCAAAAACAAAAAGTTCATGCAGGTAGGAAGGGCAGGGTGTTTCCCCACCCAGTGTTCCTGGTTAAACCTAAGAAGGAAAATCCCCTGGACTTGTAGCATCAGTATGTATCCAAGTGTTACCAGCATGAGCCCCCACATACATAAGGTTTGCCTTGGCATGGGTAAATGCCCAAGAAATTGTCTTCCAGTCCAACCCCACCCACCCACCCACCCCCAAGCAAAGGGTATCTGTCTGTGATTTCCTACTTCTCCACAGAGAAGATCCTTACAGAATGCCTACAAGGTGTAGTCAAGAGGTACCAAGGGGTACAATGGCAGACAAGTCTATCAGGCCAGGGGATGGGCAGCCAACTTCAGATCAAAGAGAGAGAGGCTTAGTGTAAAAACCAATGTCATCTCAGCAGGAAAGTAGAGAGTAGGTGATGAGAGGGGCTCCTATTGGCGCACCTTCCCAGGGACGTAGTTCCTGTCAATTGCCTCCTCCTGCAGGAACATGTGTAGGCAGCGTTCATTTTGAGCCAGTGGGTGCCCAGCAATTCTACAAAGAGACCAAAATGGTTATCAGTAGTGTTGGGATCACAGAAAATTAGCAAAAGGAGTAGAGTGTAGACAAAGGAGAAAGGACAAGGTCAGCCCTAACATTTATGCCACTGGAGAATAGCAGTAGAGTATCACCTCAACTCTAACATTGTAGAAGGAAAGAGGGACAGAAGGCAAGGCAAGGAAATCTCAAGATGCAACCATTAACATACAGGATTGTTTTAGGCCCTGATATATGGGATCAGAATTCTGCTCAAAGGAATGGAGTTTAAATGTGCAGTTAGCCCACTACACAATCAACACACCACAGAACCCCTTAAAAAAAAAAGACAGTACTGGACAAAACATACAGAAAGGCAATAATGGCAAAAGTAGCAAGCAGAGCTCCCAGGGGCTGGGGATTTAGCTCAGCGGCATAAGCACCTGCCTTGCAAGCAGACAGTGGTGAGTTCGATCCCCGGTACCAATTAAAAAAAAAAAAGGTACAAGCAGAGCTCCCAGGAACTTGATTTAGCTTACTTGTTAATAAACTGCTCAAGGCCCTGCCTCCTTTCTTCAATGAAAGATTCTTCAAAGATCCCTTCATCTCCTCGAAAAGGGAGCTGCCGCTTCAAGGCTTTTCCAGGCAGTGGTGGTACTACAATCTGCAGGAAGATGCAATATATCAGCCCCATGGGAGAAGGAAAGAGAGGGAGTAGGGTGGTACTCATTTCTTACTTAGCATAGGATCCATCCAGTCTCAAGGCCAATAATTTGCAAAAAACTAAAACCTGGTGGCATGATAGCACATGCCTGTAATCCCAGCACTGGAAGAGGGGTTGAGGCAGGAAGATCATAGGAAGTTGAAGTCCAGCCTGGGCTACATACTGAGTTCAAAGCTTCCCTGGACTATATAGCCAGACTCTGTCTCAAACAAAACAAAACAGCTAAGACAATAAGAACAGTCAGGATGACTCACATGATTCACCTTTGTTTTTATGGGTGGGCAGATTTACTACCTCAAATGGAGGAAAAAAATTCCAAGTAATCCTTACTTTCATTAACAATCTGACCACCACTCAAGAACTTAGCTAGGTCTTTCTTAGCACTATAGCTTCCATTTCTAGCACCTGTAAGAGTTAGGTCATATGACTTTACTAGCCATTAAATGAAATAATACTTTCTTTTTTTATTATTTTTTTTGGACTTTTTCCTTTTTACAGGTACCGGGGATCGAACTCACTACTGCCTGCTTGCAAGGCAGGTGCTTATGCCATTGAGCTAAATCCCTAGCCCCAAATACTTTCTTTTAAAAAATTGCTCTATAACCACACCAGCATTTGCTATTTATGCTAGTGAGATTATGGGGAGAAAACAACCCCTCTAACATTGTTAGTGTGAATGTAAACTAGTACAACCACTACTGAAATCCGTATGGAGATTCTTTTAAAAAAAACTAAAAATAGAAGCTGGAGATTTAGCTCAGTGGCATAAGTGCCTGCCTTGCAAGCAGGTAGTCGTGAGTTCGATCCCCAGTACCGATAAAAAAAAAGATAAAAATAAAACTAAAAATAGAAATTCCATTCAAACTAGCTACATCTTTTTGGGTATCCTCCCAAAAGTTAAAAATCACATTCATACCTATGTTTATAGCAGCACAATTCACAATAGCTAAATCATGGAAGTGGCCTATATGTCTATCAACAGATGAATAAAGAAAATGTGGTATTGGGGCTGGAGGTTTAGCTCAGCGGCATAAGCGCCTGCCTTGCAAGCAGGCAGTCGTGAGTTCGATCCCTGGTACCGATAAAAACAAAAAAGACAAAAAAGAAAATGTGGTATTAAAAAAAAAAAAGAAAATGTGGCATATAAGCACAATAGAGTACTATTTGTTCATAAAAAAGGATAAATTTCATTCATTTGTAGGAAAATGGATGGATCTTGAGACCATAATGCTAATTCAAATAAATCAGACACAGAATGCTCAACATCAGATAGTTTCACTCATATAACAAATCCAAAATATAAATAATTTAAAGAGCAAAATAAAAGAGATTGAGCTGGACATGGTGGCAAATGCCTGTAATCTCAGCACTCAAGAGGCTGAGGCATGAGGAATGCCACAAGTTGGACGCCACACTAAACTACACACAAGATTCTGTCTCAAAAAACCAAAGAGAGACAGACAGAGAGAGAGAGCAATTAATTGATTGACTGATTGATGATTATAAGAAATGGGAAGGTAGACTCTGTGAAGATGAGAAGGGAACCTAGAGAATGAGTCACAGGAAGAAAGGGGTAGTAAAAATAATCAAGACAGGTTATATACATGTACCAATTCCCCAAGAAGAATGTAATTATGCATCACAAACACATACTAATAAAAACACTGCCCTAAACTTACCTCTTTCAAGTTTCAAATTATATTTCCAGACTCTCTCCATTCCCTTTCAAGATTTTACAGAACATGATCTTATACTGTCTCAACCTATGTAGACAGACCTCTCTCTTCAAGGCTGACAGTGAATGGGACATACCTTACTATCTCGCTCCAACTCATTTTTCAGCCATTCAAAATCACTGTAGCGCCTCCGTACACAGGACTCTTTCAGCTTGAAGATTGGTAGGTTTGTCTACATGGAAGGAAGAATGAAAGAAGAGAGATGGTGTGGTGGCTAGCTACCTGTTACCACCACTGGGCAGGTCCAATAGCTCTTATGATCCATGTACCTATAACCCTTTCAAAACACCATCAGGCGACTACTAACCATTACCTATCCAAGCACATCACAATTGGGGCTAGGGCTATAACTCAGTGGTATAATACTTGTCTGGCACACATAAGACCCAGAGTTCCATTCCTAACAATTTAAAAAAGCCCCTTGTTGCTTAGAGTTTAACCCTACAAATAGACATGCAACTGTATGTAAATACACAGACACACACAGATACACACACACACACACACACAGTTTTCCTTGCATTTGATTTATTTTATTATCTATAACAACAATGTCCATCAACAGAAAATTGGTTAAATGAATTATGGTATACCTGTACAGTGGAACACTATATGACTAAGAAAAGAATGTGCAGTATGAAAAGTTATTAACTGGTAAAATCAAGGTACAGAAGGAGAGCTTGCCTCTTTTTTGTGTTTAAAAAGGAATACATATTATACAAAAATAAATTAATTAATTAAAAGATACTGGTCACAGTATCTTTTACCTTTGGAGAAATAAGACCAGACAACTAGAATGGGCAGAAATAATACTGTTTATTGTACAATATATCACATGCACATATTACATTTTCCATTAAAAACTAAACTGAAGTTTTGATATATTTGATGCTACATACTCAAAGATTTCAAGGAAAGAGACAATATGGTAACTACTTTTATGTGGGGATTATCTTGTGGTAAAACACTATTTTGCTTAAATGGTTGTTTTTTTCTGCGCTGTTTTATTGTTATGCCCTCTTTTATCTCAATCTCCATTTTATTATTTACTTTTTTTATCCTTTTAATTAAAGGAAAAATTAAAAAATAGCAGGATATATTATAGTAACCCACTTTGATTTACTATTAACTTGATTTGAAGCCCTGTATTGCTCTCACCATCTTGTTTTGACTGATGTTCCTCTATTCTGTTTTGCTTGATAGTACCAGGTTCAAAAGTATAGGCAACAGCTGTGAAGATAGTGGGATTCATTATGACGCCCATTCTGGTTGACTATTATCTACTTTTGAAGACCTGTAATGTCTCCAGTGTTTTGATTTTGTTGGTTTTGTTCTTTACTGTTTTGTTCAATTTTATTATTACTGATGATATAGGCAATTCTATTAGAGATAGCGGGAGGCATTATGGTAACCATTGTTGATTACCTTGCATTATTTTTACATTATCTATTATATCCACCCTTTTGATTTGACCGACTCTGTTCTGTTATGTCACATTTGGTTTTACTCTCTTCCAAAAAAAGTAATAAGAACCATGGGAGCAATAAAACCCAAAATGTGTAATAGTCATTGTACAAAATAGAGGAAAAGAAAGTGCTCTAAACGATATAACTGCATGTATATTTAAGTGTATAAGATAGACAATGATATTATGGAGTTTTGTTGGATCATTGAACAGAACTGTTTGCTCTCACTGTTTGAATGTCCACTATATAAGCTTTAATTTTGTAACTTGAACAAATATTTCTAAGATGACAATATGTAATCCATTAACTAGTGATTTCCTACTGTTTATTTTTTTTCTGAAATTCTGTATAACTTGTACCCTTTTTCTGCTTTTTTTTCTTTTTCTCCTTAAATAAAATTAAAAAAAAAACTAAACTGAAGTTCCCTATTTAAAAAAAAAAAGATCTGATACAATGGTGCACACCTATAATCCCAGCACTGTGGGAGGCTGAAGAAAAAACTATAAATCCATGCTCAGTGTGGGCAACTTAATAACTTAGTGAGACCTTGCCTCAAAATTAAAAAAAAAAAAAGGTCTGGGGATGTTGCTCAGTGAACAGGCCCTGGGTTCAATCCTCATTACTACAAAAAATTTAAAATAAAAAATAAAGAGATAAATATAGCCCAGGTAGGCTTCCCTCTGCTTTTCTATTCAAATTGTTTCCATTCTATAAATACTAGTTCAATCTCACTTCATTCAGGAAATCTTTCTTGACAATACCAGCTGGATATATTGGTAGCCTTTCCCTCTGAACTTGCCTGAATTTACACTTTCCTATCTCTTTACACACCATTGTCTTATATATCATGTTTGTCTTATCTACCTAAATTATGATCTCATTAAGATCAGGAACCAAGCCAGGCACAGTGGCACAAGCCTGTAATCCCAGTACTCTGGGAGGCTGAGCAGACTAATCACAAATCCAAAGTCAGCCTGGGCAACTTTAGTGAAACTGTATCAAAACAAAAAACAAAAAGGGTCGGGGATGTAGCTCAGTGGTAGAATGCCAAGAGTGTACCTAAGGAAAAAAAAAACAGGAACCATGACTACTTCATCTCCCCCAAATACAAATTAATCAATACTCAATTGATTAAGAGAAACTCTATGTGTCTGTTTATCCTTCCCTTACTTAGAAAATACAGAATAGCCATTATATAAATTGGCTTACCACAGCTTGCTCCTTGATATAAATCCACTCATTCCCACATCTTAATCACTGAAAAGATTACCCAGACTCTAGTGATAACAGAAACCCCTGACAAACTAAAAGCCCTGATCTTACTCCTATCAATAAGTTCTAAATAGAAATGGCCAACCACATGCATTAATCATGACCATAATTATTCCCCACCAAATAGTATCACTGGATGTGTAACAAAAGGAACTTTGCCTTTTTCCACAACTGCTTCTTGGCAAGAAAAGAGCACCTTGGAGCTCTGCTAGAGCTTCACAATATGAGGCCACTAAGACACCTCTCCAGATCCCCATGAGGATAAGATTCCTTACTGAACAAAATGAAAGAGAAGAGCTTCAGCAATATTTATTATATGGGGCTGAGGTGTAGGTCCACTGTAGAGCTTGTGCTTAACACAAGCAAGGCCTCTGGTTCAATCCTCAGCACCAGAAAAAAAACATATTTTAATAAACACAAATGTTAGAGATAGGTGTGGTAGCACACCCCTGTAATTCCAGCACTCAGGAGACTGAAGCAGGAAGATCACTATGAATTTAAGGCCAGCCTAGGATGAGTTCAAGGCAAGCCTGCAGAGAAGCCCTGCCAAAAATAATAATAAATAAATGCAAACGCTTCATTAAAAACATCAAAAGCTTAGCCAGGTGTGGCACTGCATACCTACGGGAGGGAGGCTGAGCTGGAATGAGCCCAGTCTGGACAACTTACAAAGACCCTGTCTCAAAATACAAATAAAAGGGTTGGGGATACAGCTACATTGTGAAGCCCTAGGTTTATTCCCCAATACTAAAAAAAAGCCTATACAACCATACAAATTAACATAAACAACACAAATTAACTCAAACCCACTGAGCAAGGAACCATCATCAACTTTGTCATTATTATACATTAGCGGAAAGATTGATGAAAACTTGGTAGGAATATTTTAAGCCTTGCCAGAGGCTATAGTAGAAAGAGCATGAGACTTGAAGTCAGCCAGACTTTGGTTCAAATCCTAGCCCTGGCAATTACAGTTAGATATACTTGAATGAGTTACTTAAACTGCATTCCTCCTCTGTTTACCATTTGTAAAATGGATTTTTGTAAGACTAAAAATAGGCACTAAAATCTAGTTTAATGCCTGGAACATAAAAGGTATAAGATTAACAGTCCCTGTTATTACTAGAATACCTGAAGTAGGGAGCTATTATATTCATAATTCCTAAGACTCTTAGGTAATTCAACAGAAAAAACAATGTCTTCAAACACCCACAGCAGAGTCTCTATACTGAAAATGTCATGCCGAGGTTCCATCAGGTCATTAAGTTCCCCAGCAATAACAGTTCCTTTTTACCATATTTTGTTTTTTAGTTGTTTTTGTGGTGCTAGAGATCAAACCTAGGGTCTCAAGCATACAATATATGCTGCACCACTGAGCTACAATCTCTGCTCCTTTATATTTTGAAATACATAATTCCATTCTTCCCCAAAGAAATTACTTCAAATAGTTCTTGTCTCTGTAAGACAAGTATTGTCAGGTACAGTGTGACATGCTGTAATCAGCGCTCTAGGAGGCTGAAGCTGGAGGATTCCAACTTAGAACCTAGCCTGGGCTCTAACAAAACCCTGTCTCAAAATAAAAATAAGAAAAGGGGCAAGGTATATGAGAATATAGTTCAGTGCAAAGGTCCTGGGTTCAACCCCAGTACCACAAAAAAGAGAGAGACACATACATATAAATGTTGGGCTGCAGGAGTAGCTCAGTGGCAAGGTCCGTGCCTAGCATGAGTGAGAACCTTGGTTCAATCCCTCATACTGCCAAAAAACACAAGTGTTTCTCATGTTTTGCTATTCATTTGTTCTTTTGGAGATAATTTGTCAACGAGATTTCAAAGTCCACATAGGAGACTTTCTCTTACAATTATATACTCTTTTAGGTCTTCAGTGCTGTTTAAGCAGATGCTATCCATAAGGAATATTCTAACTCTCTAGCCTGATAAGAAAATATAAAACAAGTAAATGGTCCTTAAAAGTTTCTTACCTATAACCACTCTGGACAAAAGAATCTGCAAACATGCACTCTATCTGCACATTGCATCCTTGCATGCTGGACTAAGCGCTACAGAATAAAGTCCTCTGTGGTGTACACTGGAAAAATCCACTCATGGGGCAATCCTTTCTGAAATGTCATGTATTAAGGTAACTACACACCAGGGAAGGAATCCAAAAGGTTAATGTAGGACAGAAAAGGCAACTAGCCATTCATATACACAGAACCTAAATGAGAGCCAGTAAACATTGAAATAAACACTCTGGGTTATTTCAGATCTCAAAGATCAGCATGGGATAAGAGCAGCAACTGACAATCTACCAATCCCAGTGCAGAGCCAGGTTTTAAAGGGAGACTGCATGAAGTACCTGGGAAAACTTAAGCATAAAACAGCTCTCTCCTCCAGGTGTTAACCTTAGACTAGTCAGGAAAGTATTCAGTCTCCAGGGAACTCCTTTTCAATTTTTGCTACCACGAGCCCACTGTCATTCTTTCCTGGAGTCTATTTTGCCTTTAATCCACGGGAGACCTAATTAAGAAGCACTACCTTCCTACTCTCCCTTTTCAGACTGACTTCCCACAACCTAGCTTAGTTATGGGACCAGCGGTATAGGCCTCAGCTTTCCATCCCCCAGCCCTCTTCCACCCTCCCTTTTCTTTTTTCGTCAGTCAGTTACGATTCCTATCTATCTGAATTCCTCACTCTAATCTTTTTCCACCTTCCCCACCCTACCCAGCCCTGCTTCACTTCTTCCTCAAGGGTACTTGTTCTTCCGCACCCTCATCCGATGTCCCCCTCAGGCGTTTTCTATATCCTGGGGCCACAACCGAGTCTGTAGACCTCTCTCTAAAGCCCCTAACCCCTAAAGGACCCCTTCGAGGGTCTTCTCCACCGTTACTCGTCCTCACAGCAGCCTCCACCGCAACCCCCGCCCCGTCCCGTCCTCCCTCAGCGGTCTTCCTCACCCCGTGACTCACCCGCATGCGAACCTCATAGGTGGTGAAGCGCGCGCGGCCCACGCCCACCGTTTGTGGATTAAAGATGTCGATCTCCAGGAAGTTACTCGGCGGCCCGTAAGCGTCGGTCAGGTCCTGTGGCTTCGAGTTAAGGCGCCGAGTGTCAGCTACTGCTGTGTCAGACATCTTTACGAAGGAGAGACTGGGACCAGGGGAGGGGGGGGGAATAGGGGACAGAAGCCGAGCAGGAGCGCGCACGGCCCCTCCCGCTTGCAAAATAACCAGCCAACCCACAGACAGCGGCGCCGCGCACGCGCGCTCACGCATACACGCACGCGCACGCCGCCCCGGCCCCGGGCCCTGCGCCCTGCGCCCTGAATAGCCGCGTAGCTGACGGCTTTACTTATTGTATGGAGGAGGCCTCATTCAGGCTTCCGGGTGATGTTGGTGGATGCCCCGGAACCTGGATCTTCGGTGGTGCCAGCCAATATCCTGCAAAGCACCACAGTTAGCTTCTCCAATCAACGCTCCTCAACCCAAGAAATTGTCTCATACTGTGTATCAATCAGCTGTGGGCACTGCCCCACAAGCTAGAATTCTACAGTGATAGGCCAAAGCCCGGTGACCTGAATAAATTCGGGTTTTCCGCGAAAATAGAAGGGTGAACTCTGGAAGGTGGGGTTCCGACCGTAGTACCAAGAACCTAGAATGCTGCTTCGCCATTTGTGCCGCTGATAGTTTCACATAGTGCCACATACATTGGAGTACTCCTTGAGCAGATGCCAAGAAAGCAGCGAACAACTAGAATGGGGTAAAATAAGGATGATTTCTCATTCTCACTTTTCAGGAAAACTGGACTTATTTTCATCCTTCGCATGTTGCTGTGTAAAAGCTAACTCCAGGTGTAGTCAGTGTTAATTTCTTAGCAAATTAGACAGCATTTTGTAATATCTTCTATCTGCATCCTGTAGAACTCCATACTTGGCAATGTTGCTATTTCTTGCTATAATGGAGATAGAATGCACGTCTACATGGAATCTTCTATAGAATTATTAATAATTATGAGACTAATCTACTCATGCTCCACATTACATTAAGGGATAGACAGGTAATAATTTCAAGTCATTCCTCTTTCTCCCTCTCTTCACCTGCCCTCTGCTCCTCAAAAAGTATTTCCCAGGCAGATGTGGTGAAGCATGCCTGTAATCCAAAACACTCCTACACTCAGGAGGATGAAGCAGGAGGATCAGGAGTTTGAGGCAAGTCTGGGCCACATAGGGAGAGATTTTGTCTCAAAAAATTTTTTTTCTTTTTCCTATATCACTGATGCCTGAAATTCTTTCAACAAAGCACAAAGCCCTACATTTGCGCAATTATTTCATTCAATTTAACCAATATCTACTAAGCAACTCCTTACATGCCCAACACCAGGGTGAATACTGAAGAAGACCTAGGGTTAAATAAGAGAGTACCTACCCTTAAGAAATTAACATTCTGTGGAGGGAGACAATGAAACTAATACAATATGACAAATATAAAATATTCAAATGTTAGTTGGGCATGGTAGCACACACCTATAATCTGAGCACTCCAGGAGCTGAGTTTAAAGGATCACAAATTCAAGTCCAACCTGGTCAGTTTAGCAATTTAGCAAGGCATTGTCTCAAAGTTTTTTTAAAAAATTAAAAGGGCTAAAGGTGTAGCTCAATGTGAAGGCCCAGAGTTCAATCCCTAGTACTGCAAAATTGAACAAAATGTTAAAAAATAACATATATGCATAATTGGGAGAGTTAGAGTAAGTATTCCTGGAAGAAAAAGCATCTGAGTTAATAGAAGTGAAAAAACAAAGAACAAATGAAAGTAGAAACGAGGAAAGATAATTTCTGGCAGAACAAACAGCACATACAAAGCCCTCATGATAAGAAATAACATGGTATTTTCAGGCAATTACTACCAATTTGGATTGTGAGATGGAAGTGTTTAGAGGTAGGTTGGCTGGGGATGGGCCGAGAAGATCTTATGATAAGTGAAAGGGAGCTGCTGAAGTGTCTTAAGCAGGAAAAAGACATGACTGGAGTTGGGTTTTAGAGGGATTATTTGCACATAACATGGAAAATTCACTTAAATTGAATGTGACTGTGAAGGTATTGACAATAAAAAAAATCAAGTAATGATAGTGGAAATGGAGGAAAGGTAAAAGGACAGAGATTAAGGAAATAAAATAGGACATGTATGAAATATAATAGTAGTACAGTACAATATAGAAATTAAGATGTAAGCCAGGGAGTTAAGGCTGCCTGGGTTTAAATCTCAGCTTCCTAGCTGTATAGCCTCCAGCAAGTTATGATTTTCCTCAACTGTAAAATGAAAACATTATAACTAATAGCAACCTCTGGGGCTGTCGTGAGAATTTAATAAAATAAAATTTATGTGATAACAGTAAGTGTATTGTTACTATTTGGGGGTTAGTGGAGGAGGAAATTGAAAATGACCCTTGAATTTCTCACTTACATAACTAGGCACCATCAATCAAAATTGAATTACAGAAAGAGCAGGAAGTTTTGGAAGACAATGAGTTCAGTTTAGGTAAATCTGGTCATTTATAGGACATCCTCGTGGGAAGGTCCAAATGGCAGCTAGAAATATTTGCCTGGAGCTCAAGGGCTTGCTCAGGGTTAGAAGAAAAACTTGGGAGTCATCACCATATAGTGTAGAAAGAAAACTGTGAAGATAAGGACAGGAGACTTAAATTAATGAGGTTAGATAGTTTTGTTGGGAATGTGAATCCCTTTTTGGGAAACAATTGGCATGTGTTTAAAAAAACAACTTTGACTTCTGGAAAACTTGTAATACAATACTAGCTGTCACCAGAGAGAACTGGAAAATAGGAGTCTTGAACAGCAACCAGAGTTGTTTTTCATTTTTTACTCTTGTATCTTTAAAACATTTTAGTCAGGCATGGTGGTACATGCCTATAATCCTAGCGCTCAGGAGGCTGAGGCAGGAGGATTGCTGCAAGTTCAAGGCCAGTCTGAACTACATAGTGAGAGAGCCTTTTCAAAAAAACAAAAAAAAATGAAATGTTATTTACTGAAACTTTTGACTCAAAAAAATTATTTCTAAAAATTTATTCTGAGGAAATACCTTATCACATAGAGACTCTAGTAAGGGATCCCATTTTTTAAAGTAATTACTCATTTGATGCAGTGTTTTTGCAGCTATTTTCTTCTAATCTGAGAATTTGGTTGGGGTTTTGTTTTTGTTTTCTGTTTTGAAACAAGGTCTTGGGGCTGGGGATTTAGCTCAGTGGCATAAGTGCCTGCCTTGCAAACAGGCAGTCGTGAGTTGGATCCCTGGTACCGATAAAAAGGAAAAAGACAAAAAAAAAAAAAAAGAAAAAGAAACAAGGTCTCACTATGTTGCCAAGCTGGTCTTGAACTCATGGACTCAAGCAATCCCCCCACCCCAGCCTCCCTAGTAGCTGGGACTTCAGGTACATGCCACCATGCCAGGCTTGTGAATCTGTCTATATGACAAGTCCTCTAAAAGAGTAGTACAGGGCTGGGAGTTTAACTCAGTGATAGAGTGCTTGCCCAACATGCATGAGATGCTGGGTTTGGTCCCCAACCCTGTGATAATTAATTGAGGTAGTAGGTTTTCTGTTTTATAAGACATTGTATCTAGTCACTTCTACTATAAAACCCAGTCTCTTGTATAAATGGCCAAGTTCAAGATTCTCCTATAAGAGTGTATCCTCTTAAAGTAATGGTTCAGGCCAGAGATTAACTTAGTGATAGAGCATATGCTTAACATATGCTGGGTTCAGTGTCCATCACCAAAAAAAATAATATGTTATGCTTCTTAATGTGGAATGATATCTATGAAAAGGTAGAAAAGGTGGTAAAAATATTGTGGTATAATACCATTTGTTTTAATGTATATGATACATATATAACCCAGGGGCCTGGTGTGTGTAAGCCAAGCACCCTATCTCTGAGCTACATCCTCAACCTATAATTTTGAAAGTCTGGAATATATACCCAAATGTTCGCAGTGGTTACTTTTGGGGAATTTCAGTTAGATTTTATGTTTTTGTTTCTAATTCTCTAGAGGATCTAATGTGTGTGTGTGTGTGTGTGTGTGTGTGTGTGTGTGAGTGATCAAGGAGCAAACCTAGGGTTATATTCCTTTTTTAATCACAAAAAATAAAACTATTTCTATTTAGAAAAAATATAAAAAGACAGAAAAAGGAAGAAAGCTTGTAAAGGAGAACAGGAAGCAGTAGTTAGAGCAATAGGAAAAGAACCAAAGACAATAGTTACCTGGAAGCAAGGGATGAAAGCTTCCAGAAGGAGAAAATTCAAATAAGATAAGCCCTAAGAAATGTCCACTGGGTTTGACAATTACCTAAATGGCAGCAGCTTCAGTAGAGTCCTGGGAGTAGAACCCAAACAGTGGACTGAAAATAAAATCAGAGGAGAAAATGAAACATTTATTAGAGAAATTCTTTTGGGACATTTGCCTAAGAAGGAAATGTAGAACTATAGGGAAATGCATTGTCAAAGAAAGATTTGTTTGTTAAGAATAGAAAAGATGGCAATGTATTTAGCAGCTGAAGGGAATGATCTTATAAAAAGTGAAAATTTGAGTATATAGGCTAAGTGAAGAGATAAGGCTTAGAATCAAATAGCCCTAGGAGAATTCTGTAAGTTAAATTTACAATGAGGTATGAATGAATACATCCTCTTTATTTAAGAGAAAGATTTGATAAGAAAGACAAGAGTAGAAGGTAATAGGCTAATTAGATCCTTTGCAGTAAAAAGGTGTTAACAGCTGTTAACAGCTGGCTCCCATACATTCACAGACATCCATACCCTTTTTGTTTTTCATGAGAGGCACACAGTTCCCAGTTCCCAAGTGATGTTGGGCAAAGTACAGTTATCCTTTAGACCTCAGTTATCAAACACAAAAACTCGTGTACACACACACACACACACACACACACACACACACGCACGCACATGCGCACACACGCATGCGCCAGTCAAATCCTTTGAGAAACAAGTGACATCAGAATTTTGATGTCCATTTGTACTTTATTGAGTTTCCTTGACCATGTTCATTCTTTCTCAAAAGGAATCAAGAATGGGGAAAATTGAAAAATAGAGATTTATAATCCTTACACTGGAAAGACTCTCATAAATTCATCATCCTACCTACAGGCAATACCATAACTCTTTTTTTTTTTTTTTGTCTTTTTGAGACAGGGTCTCGCTATGCAGTTCAGGCTGGTCTTGAGCTCACTCTGTACCCCAGGCTGGTCTTGAACTCCAAACGATCCTCCTGCCTCAGCCTCCCGAGTGCTGGGAT